GAGGTGGACCCCCCCCGGGTCACCCCTCTCCTGGGAGGGGCCTGGCACTGTTCACCTGGCCCGTGGTTCACCTGGGAGACCCCAGCCGGGGCCAGAGGCGTGACTGGGGGCCAGGAGCACCAGCTGTCCCCTGCAGTGGGGTGGGGCTGTGTTCAACCCTCGCCCATCAGCCCGGGGCCCCTGGCTGCTCTCTGCAGATCCCCAAGGCCCTGATGAGGTGAGGCCAGCCCCCCAGCCAGGGCCCCTCTGGGCCAGTCAGCATGGGCTGTCCCTTCCCTCCAGGCTCCGTGGGCACCCGCAGGAGAGCAGCACCCTACGAGGCAGGACTCTGAACCGTGCCCCCAGCCTTGGCTCTGGGCCTGCCCTGATCAAGCCAGGGGTAGGGAAGGGGGTGACCTGAGAGCCTGAGCCTCAACGGGGTCTCCTCCAGAACCACCAGCTCGGCCGCCACCCTGCCCCACCACGCCCATGTCAGCCAGCGGGTCCTCCTGGCCCTCGGAGGCCTCGCGGCCCTACAGTCTGAGCCTGGCTGTGTCCCAGAACCAAGTCTCCTCCCCGGGAGAGGGGCGGGTGACGGGCTGTCCAGAGCACCGGGGTTCCTGCATTTCCGACACGCTCTCCACGGAGCGTAAACTGGGGCCAGCGGAAGTGGGCTTGCCCAAGGCCCCCTGCTAGGTGGGACTCAGCCTGCCTCAGTGACCTGGTCTCATGCCTGTCCACCCCATCCCACCCCCCTCCCCAGAACCGTGGCCCTGGCCCTCCCATCCTGACCCACCGGGGGGGGGCCTTCTCACCCCAGCGTTTGCCCTCCGCAGTGCACACGGATGCCCACCGTGGGCGTCTCCCCCAGGGCTCCAGCCTGGTGTCCTGTCCCCACCCCGGGCCACTGCACACACCCCTCGGCCAGTGCTTGGAGGGAGGGGCTCAGGGGTGACGGCAGTATGCCTCGAGCCTGACCTCAGCCCCAGCCCAGGGTCCCGGCCCCCACCTGCGCTGTCCTCCGGGCCTGCCCACCGATTGGGCATTTTATAAACATGTCCAGACCCCATGGGGCATGGGACTGGGGTGGAACACACACGCCCTCAGCTCCCTCAGGTCAGGCTCCTTGCCTTTGGGGCTGGCACCTCCTGGGTCACTGGCAGGGCCCTGGCACCTGGAGTACGTGGAGTGGCGTGAAGGCTCCCCGCCTGCCGTGGGCCTAGTCGCTCACCCACTCGCTCGTCTGTTTGTTCAGCGGACACTGGTGAGCGCCAGGCTGGGTGCAGGGCTCCAGAGGCACACGGGCACGGCTGGCGCTCACTGCAGGGGATCGGGGGGCCTGCTGGCAGGTGGTGGGGGCCCCCAGTGCGGGCAGGCACAGCAGCGTCACGTCTGGGGAGGCTGATGGAGACCCGGACGGAGCTGTGGCTGAGGGAGGGGAGAAGCGGAGGGCGATGGTGCTGGGTGGGGCGGGGCGGGGGAGAGATGAGGGTCCGGACCTTGGTCCGAGCCAAGCAGCCCCTTGCCTGCGTCTGGGGATCCACGCAGGACAGCAGGACCACCCCATGGCTGGCCTGGAGCCAGTGCTGACTGCCTGCCCCACCCGTAGAGCATCCCCCGAGCCCCGTCCTCCGACGAGGAGTGCTTCTTTGACCTGCTGAGCAAGTTCCAGAGCAGCCGCATGGACGACCAGCGCTGCCCCCTGGAGGACGGCCAGCCCGCGGCCGCTGAAGCCACAGCCACCCCTACCCTGGAGGGGAGGGTCGGTGAGTCGGCCCCCACCCCGCTGCAGGCTCCGAGGGCGGGGCAGGCCAGCTGCAAAGTGCCCCCTGTCACCGGGAGCCCCGGGCTGCAATCCTCAGAGACCTGTCGTACTCCCGTCCCCCAGGACATGCTGGTTGTGCAGCGAGCGGGCATGGGAGGCCGGGGTCTCCGTGGCCCCCGCCCACTGGGGGGCCCCCAGCAGGGCTGACTGAGAGCCGCCGGGGTCTGGGGTTGGCAGAGGCGGTCTCAGGGTCCCTGGGCGGGGTCCCTGCCTCCCCAGCCTGACCTCCGGCACCCCGCAGCCCAGCCCTCGCTGACGGCCTCCCCGCAGACCGAAGAGTTCTTTGACCTCATCGCCAGCTCCCAGAGCCGCCGGCTGGATGACCAGCGTGCCAGCGTGGGCAGCCTGCCCGGCCTGCGCATCACCCACAACAACCTGGGCCACCTCCGTGGTGACGGGGACCCCCAGGAGCCGGGGGACGAGTTCTTCAACATGCTCATCAAGTGCCAGGTGGGCCTGCAGCCCGGGGGCTCCCCCCGCCCCATCTGCGCCCCCGCGCCCCCAGCTGGGGCTGCCCCAGGCCCCCTCCTCGCTGGGGCCCTGGTCCCTCTGTCTCAGGCTGTCTTGTGGGAGCAGCCCCCCACCCCGGCTGGCTCAGCCAGTGTTGCCCCATGGCTGCTCAGACCTGGGGGCCCTGAGAAGGTCATCTCGGGCCGGCCCTCCCTGCAGCTCAGGAGTTAAGCTGGGGGAATCACGGGGCTGCCAGGGTCGTGGCCTAGGGTATCCCACCAGCCGTCCACCTCTAGGTGGAGAAAACCGAGGGCCAGACTGTACCCTGGAGTGCGGAGGACACGAGGGGTCCAGCCCCCCACTGGTCCAGGCAGGGGTTTGGGAAACCCCGGGGAAGTGGCCAGCGAGGGGGCAGCCCCAGCGCCCGCCCACTGCCACCCATGCAGGAAGCTGGGAAGTTTCCAGATGTGACATTCGTTCCCACAGAGGAGAGGACAGCACCGCCCTGGGCGAGTCCGTGGAGCCTCCAAACCAGCCCCTCCCGAGAACCCCCGAGCCCCCCGCCCACATGCACGTGCGCTGCGGGGACTGCGCTGGCTCCCGGCCCTCCTGCTCCAGACCCTGCAGAGAAGCCCCGTCGCCCCTGTGGCCCCCTGACTCCACGGGGCTCTGGGGAGCTCACCCCAGAACACCACTCCTGGGGACCTCAGGAGCAGACCTGGGAGGCCGCCTGCATAGCCCTGTGTCTGGCCCGGTCACACCCCGTGGCTCCCTGTGAGGGCTGTTCTGGGGTCCCAGCTCCCAGGTCTGACCCCGGAGCTGATGCCCAGGGAGGCCCAAGGTGGCTCAAGCAGCTCTCAGGCTCGAGTGGGCATTGCCACCAGACAGTGGCCCTCTCTTGGAGCGGTCCCTGCGGCGCCTGAGCCCTGGGTCAGGCTCCGAAGGCTGGGGATGGGAGGCGCCAACGTACGTGTCTGTATCCGCCCAGTCCTCCAGAATCGACGACCAGCGCTGCCCGCCCCCAGATATGCCGCCCCGCGGCCCCACTATGCCCGACGAGGACTTCTTCAGCCTCATCCAGAGGGTCCAGGCCAAGCGGATGGACGAGCAGCGGGTGGACCTCGCAGGGAGCCCAGAGCAGGAGGTGGGCGGGCCCCCGGAGCCCCGGCAGCAGTGCCAGCCCGGTGCCAGCTAAGGTGCCCGCAGCCAGGCCTGCCCCCCACCCCCCAGTCCTGGACGGAGTGGGGGTGGGGTGTGCTCACCAACGTCCAGGACGCCCACGGCCTCCTCCCCCCCAAGAAGCCTCCCGAGGCCGTGGCTGAGGGCAGGCTCTGAGCCGCGCGGCCCCGCCCACTGCGCTGGACGCCGGGCACCCAGCCCCCACCGTGCCCCTCCCAGGGCAGCGGGCTCAGGCCGGGGCGCGCCCCTGTCTCGCGCCGGCCCCTCGCGGTACGCGGCTTCCCGCAGCCCCGCCCCCACCCTGCCCCAGGCCCGGCCTTCAGCATGTCGGTTCCAAAGCCGCGGTGCTGTCCCGATCCTCTCCGCTCTCTCCCTGCCCCCTGCCCCCCCGCCCGGCCAAATGTGAAGACCCGCTGCCCACCCCCCACCCCCAGAGGAGTCTTTGAAGCTTCCTCTCTCAGGCCACCAGTGATGGGAAACTGTCCTCCCAAAGCTGGCCCTGGGGTGCTGAGCACAGGCGTGCTCGCCCCAGTTCAGCCCCATCCCTGGGGGGCCGCCCTCCCAGGCCCTGTCCCCTGCCTCCTGCCGGGGCTGGAGAAGGGGGACACAAGCAGACCCTGAAAGCCTGCAGCCTGAGAGGGCAGTGCCCTCCCCCCACGCGGGCCCCCGGGCCCCACCAGGCATGTTGTCATGAGCCCGCGGGGCTGGGAGGCCTGCCACCTTCCTCAACTCCAAGCCCAGGAGCCCAGGAACTGAGCTGGTCTGGTTCTGGGAATACCAGCTGGCAAAGGTCTGCCCCCTGGCCATCAGCAGGGCGGGTGGAGCACCCAGCCCCCAGCCCCACTCCGCGGGGGGTGATGTCACCCCCTTCTCCTGTGGGGTGAGCCACTCTCGGGATCGGGCAGAAGACAGGCCCCCTGGGAGACCGCGACCATCGCGGGCACGAGGTGGCCCCTCCTCTTGGGAGGCACCCTACCCAGCCCCACGGTCCTGCTCAGCGAGTGCAAGGAGGCCACTGCACCCCTGCCCCTCCGTACAGCCTGGGGAGCTCGGGGGGCCTCCGAGGGCGAGGGTGGGGTGGCGGGTGTGGGGTCAGAGGACAGGGCTCAGCCACCCTCACACCTGAATGTACGTGCGTATTTATTGCTCACACGTGTGTTTGCCATGTTGTCAATGGGTCCTTTCTAACCCAAGAGGTACATTTGTTCTTGTTTTTCCTGAAAAAATAAAAGTCTGCCAAGTGGATGTCGTCTGTGTCGGGATGAGAGCTGGCGAGGGTCTTTGTTCTCTTGGGGGCCCGGTGGCGGCCTCACCTGGGTCAGCAAGCCAGCCCACCCAGGCTGCCCCTCATCCCACCCACCCCTGCCCACGGGCTCCGTCCCCACTGTGCCCATCGCTGAGGGGCCCGGGGCTCGGGGTGAAGCGGCAGCCCCAGGGACACATGGCTGGTGAGGACGCTGGGGTTGGAGCCCAGGTGTCTCTGGCCTCTCCTGGGCTGAGCCAGCCCCTGCCCCGCCCGGAAGGCTTCATTCCAGGAGGCCACTTCCACTGGGACAGTCCGGCGGGTTCACACGGTGAAGCCCTGGGCCTTCTGTGCCACCGGGGCATGGGAAGAGGTCCTGGGGACACAGGATGGCAGGCGGTCAGGGTGTACGCTGCACCCCCAGCCTTGACCCAGTGCCCTGCTGGGAGCCCCACCACCTCCCCACTTGCAGGATGGGGTGCTGACCAAGGGCAGATGGAAATGGGGGCACGCCTGGCTTCCTGCCTGCATCTCTGGGCCCTAAGTCTTGGCCACAGACGTGGTGTTCTGCAGCCTTCAGCACCCAGGCCTCAGGCCAGGCTGACTGGAGCCCACTCCACTGGCTGAAAACCCCACGTTGGTCCACTCAGGGACCCCTCCTCTGACGTTCAGAGGGAGAAAGCGTTCCCAGAGCCAGGGCAGGGGTCTATTAGGCCAAGGCTGAGGGCCCACCCAGTGGGGGCCAAGCAGGAGGCTGGCCAGGAGGCCACAGAGCATCAGGAGACTTCTGCTAGGGAGGTGCCCACTGGGAAAGGCAGACCCACCCTGGAATGCAGGGTCCCCCCCCGCCCCCGGCCCTGGTGCTCCTGACAGCACTCCAGGGACAGGATCCTCTGGGGGCGGGGGAGCCCGAGGGGTCCCAGGCTGCGTGCAGGCTTCGCGGGAGAGGGGCTCATCAGACCCCCGGATACCGGAGCCCGGCACTCAGAGGCACCAGAAGGGCCCTGGAACAGTGGGCCACATCCTAAGCCACGGGTGCCAAGACCGCAGGAAGCGGGAGCTGGGAGAGGATGGGCCTGCACTCCAGCCTCGTGGAGGGAGGAGCCCTCTCCCCATGGGCATGACCACAGCAGCAGGCCCGCCCGTCACCCACTCCATGCGTGGAGCAGCAGTGTCAGGGTGAAGCTGGGTGCAGGGCCAGGGGCGCAGAGCACAGGGGGTCTGAGGGAGGGGAGGCAGGAGCTACCGGCCAGCAGGAAGCCCCACCCCAGATCGGGGCCCCAGGCCACCAGGTGGGGCCAACTGGGCACAGCCACCCCAGTACCCCCCAGCATGGTGGGCAGACGGGCAGGTGGGCCCAGTCAGACCGCCCACTCACCAGAGCACCCCAGCCACGGACGCCAGCACCACGGAGCCCAGCCGAGCCTTGGGGGCACAGCCAGCCCGCCAGGTGCTGCGGCTCCATCCTGACGGCTCCCAGGCAGGGGCTGGCCGCTCCCAGCCAGGCTCCAGCAGCCCGCAGAGCTGTGGCCCACCTGCCCAGCACCTGACGGCCACCTCGGAGCAAGGGAGGTCAGCAGACCCGACGTCACGCCCCGACCGCCCAGCGAAGCGACCTGGGAGGGTGCCTCTGAGGAACTGGCCTGGGGATGGGGGAGCAGGCACGAGTCCCCTGCCTGCAGTCCAGAGACCCGCTGCTCCCCACCGCCCCACGCTGACCACAGGAGGCCGGTCAGTGAGGGGGGCACCCAGAGAGGCGGGGAGGCTGGGGACGGCTAGGGAGCCGGGCTGGAGGAGGGGCGAGTGTGGGCAGGGGCTGCAGCGTGAGGTCGGAAGGCTACGATGGAGGAGAAAGGGCAGGGAGGGGGAGGGGGAGGCCCCCACAGGGAAAGGTGAGCCTTCCCCCGCGCCCGGAGAGTTCTCAGCGCCCGGGAAGCCTGGCGCTCTGCCGGCAGGAACACAGGGGCACCGAGTCTCAGCGGCTTCCAGCCAGGTCGGGACGCTAAAGGCTCTGGGCAGTCCTGCACGAAGACTCTGATGGCCTGGAAGCCAGCTGTCCTCAGAGGCTTTCTACGTCCAGACCGCACCTGGAGGGTTACAGGACCACCGGAGGTCAGCCCGGACACCCGACTCCCTGGTGTGACGCTCTGGGGCTCCCCTGGTGGCTCAGCTGGTGAAGAACTGGCCTGCAAGGCGGGAGACTGAACTGGGCTTTGGAGAGGGTCCCAGCCTGGGGTGAGGGAGAGAGGAGAGCCAGGTGCCTTGCGAAGGGATAGCAGGGTGGCGGTCGCCAGACCGCGGCCATGCAGTCCTGGCCCCGCCACAGTGAGGCCAGGGGACAAGGCCGCTCAGAGCCGCTGCTGCTCACAGGCCGCCCTGGGGGGAGCCAGGGTCAGTCAGGAGGCAGGCGGAGGAAGAGGGCAGGGGCCTTTGCTGAGGTTTCCAGGCGGAAGCACAGTGAGGCAGGACCAACATGCCTGCCTCGCTGGTGTGGAGGCTTTCAGCCGCTCTGGGCGCGGGGGCTCCCGCGAGTTGTCTGGAGCCTGCCCTGGGTGCACGCGCTCTACTGTCCCCAGGACCTGACCAGCCCTCCAGGCTCAGAGCGAGGAGCTCAGTGTCGGAAAGCAGACAGGAAAGGACGGGGCGAGCAAACACGTCCAAACCGCCCAGGGAAGGAAGGTCTGGGCTGGGGGCACTCCTGGGGTCTGCTCTGTGCTCTCAGTGTCGTCAGCTCCCTGGACCTCCCCAGATCAGCCCCCAACCCTCCTCGGACAGCGAGGCCCTGCCCCCACACTGCTGCTCCAAGGCCAGCAGGCCCCTTGGGGCCTTCATGGAGAAGCAGGCCCGGGGGCTGGCTCAGCCTCCAGGGCTGACTCCGCAAATGTCACAGGAGGTTCTGGGCGGGATAATAGGGGGTTGTTCGCCACGGGAAGGACAGGGGGTGGTGGGGGCGGTAATCAAGGCAGAGCACGGGCTGCCAGCTCCCAGAGAACAATGCCCAGGCCCGTGCCCACGGGGGCGGCTGTCAGGAGCTCGGATCCTGCGGGGATCCGGCAAGACTGTGGCTGGTGATTAATGCTGAAGGTCACACAGCCCAGAACACTTCTGGAAATAAACACGCTTTCATAAACACAGGAACATCCTGAGAAGGCAGTCAAGCTAGGCTGGGAGACAAATTGCGCAGCCTGGGGGCGGGGGGACACGCGCATGGCAGCCCCAGCCCCCACACCTCTCGCCACTGTGGCTGCCCGGCTCGTCTGTGGCCATGGTGAGCAGCCTGGTTGGCTGACTTTGCTTGGATGGTGGGCAAGGGTCAAGGCTGAGGCTGGCGCCGGCTCCCTGGGGCGTCCGGGTAGCACAGCAGGACCTGTGGGGCCTCCTTGTGCATGGCCAGAGACAGGACCACGGCGGTGCTTCCGCCCCTCAGGAAGAACAGTGGCTAACTGGCCATCGAGATCGAGTCCCGACATTTGGGGCAAGGCTGAGCCACGCTGTGCTTGAGTCCCATCTTTCCACCTGTAACTCCTGACAAGGTAGCAACTTCATCAGAAGATAGGAAGACAGAGGCTCAGAGAGGCAAAGTCACCTGCCCAAGACCACACAGCTGCAGCCTGGGGGGAAGTGGGAGGGCTCAGACTGTAAGGGCCAGCCCCTCCCTACTCAGACGCAGCCTCCGGCCGCAGAAGGCCCCAGCCCACAGCCTGGAGGGTGTGCTTGTGACTCACTCTGACTCCAGAGGCAGGGAAGACAGGAGAGCCCCAGGTCCCAGCATCTGCAGTGAAGTCTGTTTATTGATAGAAAACAGAAGTCCAGAGTGGCCCAGGACTGGAGCACCCTTCTCCAAGGCAGATGGGTCAGCTGGCCTCTGTCTTGCCGGGCCGGGTGGGATCCTGGTCCTCAGCCCCTTCTGCAGCAGTGGTGGATTTGGGGGGCACCGCAGCCTCTAAAAGGAGCTCCACGGCCCCCTCGCCAACCACTCGGCGTACCTTCTCCCCTCTGGCCGCCAGAATTTCTTCAATATTCCTGAGAAAGAGGGAGGTACTGAGACGTTTCTGGGCTGTTTTGCGTCTCGGGCCTTCAAGGGCACCCCAGGCCAAGCTCGAGTGTGTGGGTCCTGTACTGGTGTGGCATCAGGGCCACTCAGTCAAGAGGTGTTCAGCACCATCCCTTACTGCGCGCCACCCCTCACTGAACACTGCCCCTCACTGCTCTCCACAAGGGGGCAAGGCTGACGCTGTAGGACCAGAGCCCCAGACCACATTAGCTCACACCCTCCCCAATCTGGTGCAGCCAGCCAGCCTCAGAGAGGACAGAAAGGTGCATGCTAGGACCCCTGCCCCACAGCAGGTACTTAGGAAGGAGCGCCTTGTAGGGTGAAGGAAGGAACCAAAAAGCAAAAGGTAAGTTGTTTCTTTTAAGAGTCAACCTAGTCTGACCCCTCCTGTCGGGGGTGGGGCTGCCCCTGAGGCTAGCACTGACAGCAGAGATCAGGCAGTGAAGCAGGGCCACAGGGGGTCGGCCTAGGGCAGAAGGTCTCATACTTGGGGCACACTTTCACCAAAAAGTTATCAGGTTCATCTGAATTTCAAGTTCAACAATGCTTATCTTCACAAGGAAGCTGGGTTATAGAGATAGGCTCTGTAATCCTCATTAAAAAGAACAGAGCCCCTGGAAGGGTGAGTGGGGCCGCAGACTCAGGACAGACCAGGCTAGCCCTGGGATACAGGCCTCTGTCCTCAGCCCTGCCCAGGCAGGCCTCACCTCTTCCCATCCAAGTCCGAGAACCAGCCCAGGTTGTCGGCGATGATGTGGTGGTTCTGGCAGCCGGGGCAGGTCACAATGACCACACCCTGGTGATAGGCGAGCTTGGAGATGCGCTTCGAGGACCTGGTCCCACAGACCTGGGGGAAACTCCGAAGTGAGGCCCTCCACGCGGCCCCGCCCCATCTTGGCTCCACCTCCGGAAGGATCCGCCCCCAGTGATAGCCCCACCTTCCTGGAAGGCCCCGCCCCATCCTGGCTCCACCTCCGGGAGGATCCGCCCCCACTTATAGCCCCACCCCTCCCGGGAGGCCCCGCCCCATCTTGGCTCCACCTCCGGGAGGATCCGCCCCCACTGATAGCCCCACCCCTTCGCGCGTCCCCGCCCTCTCCCAGATGGGTCCGCCCCCGAATGACAGCCCCACCGCCTTAGGGAGGCCCCGCCCCCTGTGCATGGCTCCACCCTCCCTCGCAGTCCTGCAGCACCGTCGCGCGCCAGATGCAGGCCCGCGCGCTTCCCCCCCAGCAGCGCCCCCGCCACGGGCCCACCTTGCAGGTGTAGACTAGCTGGTAGTGCGCCGGCCCGGGTCCCGGCTCAGAGCTCAAGCGCCGCCAGCCCCACCCCCAGGCCCGCCTTGTCCCCGCGGCCTGCAGGCGGACCCCTGGCCCCCACAGCCACCTCGGGCCGGGCCCGCGGGGCCGCGCGCGGCTCAACAGTATCGGCACGCGGCTCAGCGCCGCCCGCAGCATGCCGCCCGCCGGCCGCCCCGCCCCGCTGCCATTTTGGAAGCGGGCAGCGGCGGAAGCGGTCCTCCCCGGCTTCCGGCGCCGGTGGGCGGGCAGTGCTCTGCTGCCATCCGGCGGCCGGCGGTGCGCTCCGCTGCCCCCTGGCTACCGGCTGCGCGTGCTGGCCGGCGCGAGGCCGGAAGGGGCGCGCTGGACCAGACCACTGGAGGCGGCGATGTCTGGACCGCGGTAGTTTATTGACAAGGTTGCATTTTAAGGTCGCGGCACGCGTGCGCGTCAGAGACAACCCGCCCGTGCTCGCCGACGAAGAGGCGGCCCGGGGGTGCCGCGCCCCCCTCCCGCGACGGGGAGGGCCGGACGGGTGGGCCAGCTAGGCGCCCTCGGTGTCTGTGTTGTCGCTGCCCGTGGTGTTCTCTCCATCCGCCTCCCCCTGCCGCGCGCCGTGCTGCATCTTCCGGAGGGCCCGCTTCCTGCGGGAGACCCAGACAGCGAAAGCGGGCGCGGGTTCGCACGAGGCCCCCGCCCACAGCCCCACCCACCGCCCGCGCTTGCCCACCTGCGGTAGTTCTCAAAGCTCTCCTTGAGGCGCCGCCGGCCCTTCTCCTTCTCTGGGGGCTCCCGGCCGTTCAGTCCTGCGTCCTGGAGGAGAGGCTTGGCTCGGGCTCCGGCCAGAGCCCCCCGGGGGCCCCACTCCCGGCCCTGGGGCTGTGCACTGGGGCCCAGGTCAGCGGGGTGCGCTCTCCCACTTTTCAGATGACACGACTGGCCCAGGGACCCATGGCTCCAAGCCAGGGTTCCTTCCACTACCGTGTCTGGGGTGACTCCTTTTGTTGTCAGGCTCAGTGCAATGGACAGGGAGGCCGAGTTCCACTCACTCAACACTGAGCCCGGTCCAGAAGACTGGACTGCTCTCTGCCCTGCTTTGTTCACAAACGGAGGACCCTCAGCTTCACTTCACTTTCCAAACACGCGCCCCCGGGAGCCCATGCACAGAGTCTGTGATCAGTCCCCGGGTGTCCAGGTGGAGGGATCACTCTCTGGTGTCCAAGCTGAGAACCTCCCCAGGGGCCTCACCTCCGGGGTCAGTGACAGCTGCTCCTCTTGCAGGGCCACAGACGGCTGCTCCGGGCTCTCCCCGATAGCCAGGCTGCCTGGAAGGGAGAGTGCCTGTCCGTCCTGCCCAGCTGCCAGGGTCACGCTGGCTGGTATCTCTTACCTCCTCAGCCTGGGCCAGCCCTCTGCCACCTCCTGGGTCCTCACCTGGACCTGCCAGGGTTCCCGTTGTGTAGACACGGGGAATCAACGTTCACTTCTCACCCCCGAGTAGACAGCTCAGGTGCCCTGGGAGCAGGGGCTGGGGTACTGGGGCTCCCTCCACATCTGGAAGGGCCCACAGCTCAGGACCCTCAGAAGTGCTCTGATGGGCTGATTCTCCAGAACTGTCCACTGTGTGGGGGGGCTGGGAGGGGTGTGGATCCCAGGTCTCAGGGACATGGTGGTGGGAGTGGCCCAGGCCCAGGTCTTTCCCTGAAGTTCACACCTTTCCCTCCTCCTTGGCCTCTGGCCCTGGAGCATGCCCCACCTCCCACCAGGGGCCCTGCCAGCCCGAGGTTGGGGCTCCCAGGCTGGCTGGCCAGCTGCCTTCCCCACCCGCTCGCAGCCTGTGGGTCCTTCCTGTCCGTCCCCACGTGGGGGCTCGGTGGCTTCAAGCTCGCATCTTTGGGCAGCAGCGGGGGGACCAAGTCCTCACTTCTCCATTTGCTGCCTCCTCTTCCTCTTTCGGCGCCCCCCCAGCAGCTGGGGTCTGACGCTGAGGAAGTCTGTCTGGCTTCACACGCTACCTCTGCGGCAGCGCCCTTCCCCCCACCCCGCCCCCACCCTCCCCAATTCCCATCTGACACCCAACTTCAGAGCCAGCCCATCATCCCCCCGGGGCCACCCTACGCCCTGGTTCCAGGCGGGCAGAGTGATCCCGCCTCTGCCGCCTGAAGCCCCCAGTGTGGTCACCCAGAGCTGTATCCCCTTCCCGGTCTGTTTCCACTTCTTCTCAGGCTGCACCTGGGCAGCAGCCGCCGCCCTGCTCCCTGCCCCGGGGGGGGCGGGCGCCCCTCCCCTCAGCATTCCCGGCCGAGTGGGCTCTGCCGGCCAGGCGTGTCCTCCAGGTGGGAAGCTGGCCTGCGAGCCTGGGCCCCAGGCTCAGATGGGGCTCCCGTCCCCTTTCTGGGGGTCACTCATCCCTTGGGCCCCGTGTGCCCATCTGTGAAGGGAGGCGTGAAGGTTGGGGGCCAGGGCTGGGTGCACGTCCCCTGGCACCAGCATAATGCATTGTGTGTGCCGAAGGCCAAGATAGGCACCAACTTGCCACCATGAGGAGGCCTTGGTCAGATTCCTCCAGCACAGGCCGAGGGCCTCCTCACCTTTGTCTGAGAGCTGGGTATCCTCCTCCAGGTCCTGGGGGGGCGAGAACTTCCCAAGAGACATGGGGCGATCAGACCGCCGCCCTGCCAAGAGCGAACCTGACCCTCCACGCTGCCTGCCCTGGGCTGCTGTCCCCACCACCACCCCCCAGTGCCGGCCTCTCAGGGAGGGAGCTATGCTGCTCAGGTGGGCATGGGGCAGAGGGCAGGCAGCGCACAGCTAAGCTCCCAGAGCTTTGCGTATGAGACTGTGGTCTGGTGGAGGCCATGGCCCGGAGCGTCCAGTGAAGCCAGCGCGGGCCCGACCTGCAGAGGTACACTTACCTCCTGGGAATTCCTGGGTGAGCTGTCCTCCAGGTCGGAGCTCTGCGGTCACAGAATAGGGGTCCATCAGCAGGCTGTGAGGGAACCGAGCCACTCCTGGGCATGGGGTGGGGTCCTGGTCTGGCCCCCCCGCCAAGGACGCCCCTCCCACCTGGGCCTGGCCGGAACGCGCCACCCTCCCTGCCCACGGTGCCCGGCCCTGCAGCAACCCTCCAGGGGGGCTCGGCGAGGAGCCAGCCTTCCGGAGGGAGGAGGGGCTCAGGAAGGTCCAGGGACCTCTGGCGGCTCCTCCCTGGGGCTCTGCCGCCTCTGAGGACACACCTGCTCCCACGTGGCCACACCCCTCACCCCAGCCCCACCGTGGTGGAGCCCTGGCTCTGACCCAGGGCCGAGCCCGCAGAGGCCCCCGGGGGAGGCCCACCAGGATGAGTACGTCCAGCTGCTGCCGCCGGAGCTTGCCCTCCATGGCCAGCAGCTGGCCCTCGCGCTGGAACAGCTGCAGCTGGAGCTCATCCACCTTCTCGCTCAGCTCGCGGACCTGCTTCCGCAGCACGTCCTTGTCCTGCAGGCTGCGCGCGTGCTGTGCGTGCAGCTCCTCCCGCATCAGGGTGGCCTGCGGGGCAGAGGGGGCAGGGCAGGTGGGGCTCATCCCTTGCTGAGCCTCCTTGGGCGCGTGGCCTGGACCCGTGCCCCAGGACACACACACCCCCCCACATCCCACCCGGCTTTCATTTCCCCTCCCAATCGCTCACTTCTCAGCACACTTTGATTTCTAGCAATGCTCCCGGGAGAACTTCCAGCAACAAGGCTGCGGAGGGGCCAGCACCGACCCCTTCCCTTTTCTTCCCTTAGGATGGCTCTCATGTTTGGGGCTTTTGTAAATGTGACCCAGGCTCACGATGGGAAGTGCGGACCGTTCAGAAAACATAAGGGAGGTGACCCCCCCCACCTCCAAAGTGCCCCTGCCCACCCTGCTTCCAGGCAGCTTTGGCTGCGTTCACATGCACACAGCTTGTTTCCTGCTTCACCGGTGCGCTTGATAGCGAGAACACAATGAGAGATGGCTGTGTGATGTTCTTCAGAGCAAACACCCCGCGCTTTCTCATGCCTGCTCCCCTCAGTGGGGACTCTGAGGTCAGCCCAGGCGGCCGGCCCAAAGTGACCAGCCAGGGGAGGCCGCGGCTGTGGGCAGACTTGGAGGAAGCCAGCCTCTGTCTCCAGCAAGGATCCCGGAAGCTAAGCCACACCCCCTCGTCACCACTTACAGCTCTGAATGAGCAGGAACCACTTCTATCAGAGCTCGTCGAAGGCTACCTTGACGACTGCCTCCCCAGAAAGGTTGGTGTGTCCAGGCAGGCCAGCGTGTCCCCACCTGGTCCCTTTCAATGGCGACCTCCTCCATCTGCCGCAGGATGGCCTCGATGCGGTCCTTGTACATCTTGGAGTCCCTCCGCAGGGCCAGGCACTGCAGCTCGAACGTCTCCTTCTCCTCTGCGCTCTGCAGAAGACGCCAGCTAGCCCCACCACCCGCGGCCCGGCCGGGCGGGCTGGAAGTCAGCTCCAGGCCACGGCTAGCCGCCCCTCACCAACAGTGCCCCGGTGGGGTGGCAGGCCCAGGGCTGGGCCCCCCGCCGCCTACCCGGGTGCGCAGGGCCTCGGCCTGGCGCAGGTCCTTGCGCAGGGAGAAGATGGTGGCGGCCTGTTGCTGGAGGTCCCGCTGCGCCCTCTGCCAGTCCTCCTCCGGCACCTGGATGTAGGGGCGGCCCTGGTCCGGCTTCCCCTCCTGCGGGCGCCAAGGGAGAGGGTGGGGGGGGACGGGCCCGGCTCCCCTGAGCCTGCCCACCGCCGCCAGCCCTGGGGCCCCACCTGCACCGAGGCCTCCAGGCCCTGCACGCGCGCCTGCAGCAGCGCCTTCTCCTGCTGCAGCTCCCAGAGCAGCTCCTGGCTGGGCCGCAGCTCCATGGCATGCCTGAGCTTCAGCGTGTGCTTGCGCTCCACCCTGCAGTCGTCCTCCGCCTTCATGAGGCTGTGCTTCAGTTGGTCGATCTAGGGGGAATTGGGGGGGTGCCTGTCAGTGTCAGCTGGGGGGCCCTGCCCCCTACTGCGCCCACCCCCCACTGTCCCCCAGACCCCCACTGTCCCCCGCCCCCACTGTCCCCCAGCCCCCAAGCCCCAGCCCCCCACTGTCCCCCCCAGCCCCCTACCGGGCCCCCACCCCCGCCCTGGGCACCTCCAGCAGCAGCCCACGGTGCCCCGTGAGGGCCGCATCGCGCTCCTCGCTCTGGCGGGCCAGGCGCAGGGCCAGGTCGTAGTTCTCGTCCTTGCAGCGCTGGAGCTCACGGCTGCCCGCCTCGCAGGCCTCCTTGAGCCGCTGCATGCGTTCCTGGAGCTTGCGCAGCAGGCTGTCCTTCACATGCAGCTCCTCGGCGAGGTTGTCTCTGGAGCCCAGCAGTGCCGTCAGCTCCTGCACCTTCTTCTGCAGCTTCATCACCTCACTCATCAGCAGCTGCATCAGGCCCGATTCTCCAGAAGCGTCTGTGGAGTGGGCGGGGGTCGGACGGCACACCCCTCCCGGGGCCCCCACTCCAGGACCGCGAGGCTCTGGGGCGGCGCGGCTGAGGGGTCAGCTCCCTGCCTCGGGGATGAACTGAGGCGGACTCGCCTCTGGGCCCTGACCCCACCAGGGCAGGACGGCCTGGGGTCCGGGCGTCCATCCCTCTCTGTCTAATTCTGTCGTCTTGGTTGAGAGGTGGGGGGACGTGACTCGGGGCCACCCCACTGGCTTCTTGGGCAGGGCTTCAGCAAGGTCAGGGGGCCTTCTGGGCCAAGCTTCAGCCTGTGCCCCCCCCCACACAGGCCCCACCCTGGGGCTTGGGCTCCCTCTCCTGCAGCCTCTGCACCACCACGAGCTCAGGATGGCAGGATGGGAGGGACGCCCACACAGGGCCGGAAGCTGGCAGCTTCCCACACGAGGCTCACTCCTTTCCTTTCACCCGAGGTTTACCCATCAGGGGGCCGGGCTCCCCTGCCCCTCTTGCCCCCAGGCCTGCGCCCTGCGCTCACCGATGATCATGGAGAAGACGCGGGTGGGCTCCTTGCCCGTGACCTTCCTGTAGAGCTGTGGGTAGTAGAGCTCCAGGCTCTCGAGGAAGGCCACGTAGCCCTTGTGGCCCGTCCGCTGCAGGATGTCCAGGAGCACTCCTGTGACCCAGAGAGGATGCACGTGGGCGCAGAAGGCGCGTAGCCCGCGAGGCTGCAGTGGGGGCCAGCGTGGCCCCACTCGGGGCGCTCCCGGGCATCCGCCACGCAGGGAGTGGGAGCAGCCGCAGGCAGAGGTGGGACGGGGGTGGGGGTGCCTGATAGACCTCCGGGGGGCCAGGGTGGGGGGCCGAGCGCAGCCGCCCGCAGCACTCACCCACTTTCCGCTTGCGGGTGACCAGGTTGGGGTCGCTGAGCACCTGCTCCTCGTCATCAGGGTTCAGCACCTTGCACTGGCGCAGGTAGGGCGTGATGCGGGCGGGGTCGATGATGGAGATAAGCTTCACCCGGAAGCCCTCCAGGGCGCTCCAGCATGCGTCCTCGTTCTCGTAGTCGGACATGGCTGGGAGGAGGTGGCCTCTGCTGAGCTGCGGGCCCCGTTGGGGCCCAGGCTGGCCATCTTGGCTGTGAGAGCCCAGCCCAGGGGTGCGAGGAAGGGAGGAGCTAGCCTGCTGCCATCAACTCACCCAGCGTCTCCCTCCGCCCCCCTCAGGGCCTGCTCCTGACCCTCCAGGCGCCCTGGGCTTTCTCTCCCAAGGGACCCTGATAAGCGTTGGGGATGGTGTGGGGATGCGCCAGGGTCGGGGGGGCATCTAGGAGGACACAGTCCGCAGCCCCACGGCCCTCCTCTGGCCCTGCCTGATCCCCACCCCCCCAACACTGCAAGTGCTGCGGGGGCTGGCAGGAGGCTGCCTCCCACTCACACGACCTCCCTGGCACGTGAGGGATGGGGCCAGTGCCGGGGCACCCGGGCGCCAGGCTGCGCTGCAGGACTTCCTCCTTCCCCATGGGACAGCGGCCCTCACATCTAGTCCTCCCGGCCTCCCTTCTTCCGGACGCCGCTGATGCAACAGTCGCCCAGCAGCTGCTGGGCCATTCCCGCCCCGGATCAGGCTCAGCAACGCAGTGCCCTCCGGGAAGGGTGACTGTGGACGGCCCGCTGGAGGGCGCAGGCCCCGGCGTCCTGGGAGGGACGGGCTCCTGGTCCCCAGGCACCAGCCATCTGGGCCCCTCTCTGCCTCCTGGGCGAGGCTTTGTTCTTGGGGACTGCCAAGCCAGCTATCCAACAGGAGATTCCCCTCTGCCGGAACAGCCCACCGCTGCTCCCTCCTGCTCCGCGTCCACGAGCCCCTCTCTCCAGGGCCAGTCTGAGCCGGGGGCAGCCGCGGGTTGCCTCCTCCCAGCGGTGGGGATGGAGACCCTGACCCCTCCACCTCCCGCTGAGCCTCCAATCCATGGCAGTGAGGGAAGGACGAGCCTCTAGCTCGCAGGGGCTGGGCCATGCTCCTAGGGACAAGGGTGGCAGCAGGTTCGGGCTGCGCCGCCTGCCCAACGGCAGACGAGGCGCTGAATGAAAGCACCCACAGGTCGGGGTCTCTGGAGCACCGGGCCTGGCCCCTGCCTGCCCACCCTGAAGTCTGCACATCCCGCGCCTGCCGACGCCCTGCGGCTCCCTCTGTTGAAGCGACAGGCGGGCACAGGGTGGCCGTGGAGGGGGGACAGGCCAGAGCCAAGACCCCCTGGTGCCCTGCTGGGTATCTGCCCCACACCCTGTTCCCTGCCCCAGGCCCGAGCTGGGGTGCCATCTGAACAAAGGGCATCGGGTCAGCCTACCTTGGGTCCTCCTGGGGGGCACCTGCACACCCGTCCGCCCGATTCAGTGCCGGGTAGGAGGTGCCAGCTGACAGGACAGAGGCGGGTGGAGCTGGGGGAGAGCCCAGGGTGCACTTCCTGATGAGCCTGGCTCACCCCAGAGGCAGGAGGGACCGTCCCCCACCCCGCCCCCCGCGGCCTCCTGATTCGCCCCGAGCAGGGTGGCCCTGGGAGGCGGAGACAGGGAAGTGGAAGCTGCTGGGAGCCCCGGGCGGGAGGGTGAGCCAAGGTTCTTCCCCGGGGCTGGATGAGGCCAAGCCACCATCGGGGCCACTGTGTTCCCGTGAGGACTGCAGCCTGGCGTCTGTGGAGGGCACAGGGCTGGGGCCACCCCACTCGCCCTGCATCACCACCGGCCCACGGGCAGTCTTGTCCACTCCTGGGAGCAGCCCTTCACCACGAGGCGGGGGGACGGTGACAGCCAGGCCCTGGGACGCAGAGCCAGCCCTCCTGGTTGAGCAGAGAACTGCGCGCTGCCGGGCTGAGCGGCAGCTCTGGGGAGGGGCTGCAGCCGGTGGGCAGCAGTCTGGCCGCGGCTGCTGGCTTCCTGTGCTCCCTTCCTGGGGGTCCTGAGCCTCGGCCCCCGGTTTTCCTCTGCCCGCTGGCCCAGCAGTCTAATCCTGGGAAGTCCTGGTGGTTCCCCTTGGGGGAGGGGTCCTCGTGCTGTGGGAGAGGTGTGAGCTGCGGTCCCAGCCCCTCTGCACCCTGTGGGCAGGCAGAGCGCCGGGCCTGGGCCCTCCGTGAGCTAGTGCTCCCGCTTTGTGCAATGAGGCTGCGGAGGGGTCTTCCTCCCGGTGTGCTTGAAAATTAATCTGGGAATCAAATAACAAACGTCCTAACCCCCAAAGTCAGAGAAGATCACAAGGAAAAGTGGAATTGGTCAACTGCGGACTGGGCGCCAGCACGCACACCTGGGCGGGCAAATCAGCCCGTGGCCGTTCGACCCGCGAGGTCTGGGCGTGGAGGAAGGGGAGACAAGCGACCCCGGGGACTGCTGTCTGGGGAGCGCGTGCCCCGTTTCTCTGCGTGGGAACCTCCCATGATAAGTGAATGCAAAAAGAAGTGGTGTGTGAGAACAGAGCCCCCGGGAGAACCCGGAGCCTCAGAGAGTGTAACCAGACCCCCAAACCTGAGCTCCTTCAGACAGAGGGCCAGAGAGGGCACGAGGCTCCTGCCAAAGAAACGCCTGCACAAAATCACAGGAGCGCTTGCCCGTGGCTGCCGTGCAGGCTGCTGGGGGCCTGTGGGCAGCAGGCAGCCACAGGTTCTGGGACCCGCCTGTGCGGTCTGGACGGCGGAGGAAGTGGGCTCGCCCCACTCGCAGCAGCACCAGGAGAACCCTGAGCCCCTGGGTGGGTGTGGGCTGCCCTCTGCCTGGAGCCAGGCCCCAGCCTTTCTGCCCAACGGGCAGGCCTATTCCTCCCCCATCCCAGGCCCTAGAGGCCCTGGGGGCAGGGGCTCCGTTCTCTGGACCCCAGGGCCGAGCTGGCCAACTGCCAGCATGTGCAGAACTTGCTGAGACCACAGAGTCCACGGCTTGCTTTTAATCACAAACAGGACATTTCTTTATTCCTTCCAGCATTCTGGGTGCCCTAGGGGCTCAGCTGAGCCGGGACGATGCAGTCACTGCTGGCGGAGAGTTCCTCCCGGGTAGGCTTGCCCGGGTCCAGCACGGGCCCCCCTGCCTGTCCACCGCACTGGCTGGCTGGCCCTGGGCAGTCCTAGAACGTTAAAACCACCATCGTGACAGGATGCTCCAGTCCCAGCTGGACCCCATGGATGGCAAGGCAAAGGTGCAGCGCTGCCTCGGGGGGCCAGGCGGGGAGGAGCAAGGTGTACTGCCCACCTGCGGTCCACGGAGGGGCCACGTGGAGGACAGGCCCTGGAGCCTGAGCGGGCCCAGTGCAGGCGGCCCCTCTGTGGTCCCCACCCACCCAGGGCCCCGTGTGCCGCCCTCATCCGTCCACTCCAGGACCAAGGACCTCCCGCAGCACGTCCACGGAGCTCAGAGACTGCAGTTCCTGCTTCTGCGGACATCCTCCTGGGCCCAACTCTCTGTTCATGAAGACCCACCAGGCTGCGCCTACTTGGTGCCGGCAACCTAGTCACACGTGACCCTACACCTGCCCAAAGGCTCACATTCTGGGGGAGATGCTGGACCCACACGGGTAAACATCAGGTGTCACAGGAGGGTAGGCACCATGAGGACGGCCGGGCCCCGGGAAGGGGACGCTGTCTTATAAGAGCAGGAGAGGGCATCTGAGCAGCGCACCGCCAAGCAGAGAGGCGAATGGAGGGAGGGACAGGCCTTGCAGACGGGAAGAGGACAGGGCCAGGCAGAGGGCCGGTGGCCCCGGGGCACAGGGGGGCCAGCCGCAAGGCAGCAGCGAGGGTGGGGATGTGGAGCCGGGGAGGGGCGAGTGGGTGAGGGGAGGCCCATGTGCCACGCCCAACACCTCACGACAGCACCGCAGCCAGGGTGAGCTGGGGACCCTGGGCACTCACCTGCGGCTCACTGCAGCCGCCGCCGCTTGCGGACGTGCCTCAAGCGCCGTGTCTGCAGCACGTCTGGGTCGTCAGGGCTGTCTGGGCAGGAAGGGGCAGGGCCCTGGCTGGGGTCCGGGGCTCCCTAAAGTCCAGGCAGAGGACAAGGGTGACCCTCTAGCTCGAACGGGTGGGCAGCAGGGCAGGGAGGAGCGGGTAGCTCCTCAGGTGTGTCCCCACTGGAGCTGGGAGGTGCCATCTTCCTGGGGCCACACGGGGCTGACTTCCTGCTGACCCCTCCTTCACTCGGGGACTCCGATCCCCGTTGAGCAGCCCCCCAAGAGCCAGCCTCCTATACCACGGTCTCCCCAGCTGGGCCAGGGCCCAAGGGAAGCTGCCCATGCTGCCGGGGACAGCAGGTCTCCTCCCCTCAGTATCCAGGGGCCAGCAGAGCTTGCCCTTTGCTTCAGCCTGGAAGACCCTCTCGACTCCTAAGGCCGTGCCCCTGGGAAGGGAAGTGGGCTAGGCCGAGCTGTGGGGGACCTGGGGGCCACAGATGCAGCAGCAAGCCTCACTGCTGTGGTCACCCCCATGTGACGGGGATGGGCTGCTCCTGGGGGTTCTCTGGAAGGGTCAACGCACGCAAGGGACCCGAGAGCCCTCTGTGTTCTGAGGGAACCAGGGACTCCTTCCCGTGTCTATATCCAGGTTCTTGTCTAGAAACAAAAGTGGCACGGCTTCCGCAGCTGGACACTGGACAGAGCTCCCCAGGGCGCAGGCGGGGCGTGCGTGTGCAGCAGGGGCTTGGACACTGAGGCGGCTACCTGCTGGGGCAGGCCCTCCCCGCCCCCCCCCCATGCTTGCTGTGAGGTTCCCGCTGCCAAGTCTGCAAGCGAAGGGCGGCGTGGCGTGGTCTCTTCCCCCTGCCTCCGCCCCTCTTGTCCGGGCGGGCAAGACACCCGCCGGTGAGGGCCCCGTGGGAAAGGGGCTGAGGGCCCACGACAGCCTACCTGGGTGGGGTCCCCATCACTGTCGGTGAGCTCCGGCTCCTCCGGGTCGAGTTGGTCACTGTCTGTCTCGGGGTCAGGCCCGGTGCTCACCGACAGGGTGGTGGGGACGCCGCGGGGGGACAGGGTGGCCAGGAGCGCCGGCAGGGTGAAGGCGGCCAGGAAGCGCGCCCGCAGCAGCAGGTAGGCCGGGCTGTCGCGGAGCCGCTCGCGCACCCGCCCCAGCGAGGCCTGCAGGGCGCTGGCCGGCCCGCCGGGTGCCAGGACCGCGGCCATGTGCTCCAAGTCCTTCTTGCGCAGCAGGAGGCTGGACAGCGCCCGCAGGCTGCACAGCATGGGCGGCTGGTAGGCCAGCCGGCTCCCTGGGGTGGGCGCAGTCACCCCTCGCTGCCCCCATAGCCACTCCCGCGCAGCGGCCTCGCTCTCCTGGGAAAGGAGGCTCAAGTCCAGGGCTTCGTTCTCCAGCCCCAGCCAGGAGAGCGGGGGCTCCTCCAGGTCCAGAGGCCGGGGCTCCCTGGGCCCTGAGGCAGCCCCTGGGGCCCCGTGCAGAGGCGGTGGGCTGGAGCCAGGGGGCCCGGTCACTGGGTGGTGGGCCAGGGGCGTTTCCTGGGAGCGGGTCGTGGGTGCAGATGTCTCCCCAGCCGCCAGGGCCTCCCCAGGGGAGGTGAGTCCCACGAGGCCACAGGCCTCGGCCACCTCTGCGGGGCTCTCGCTCAAGGACTCTGTCCTGCAGGGAGGCTCTGGCTCCGAGTCTGTGCTGGCTGCTGGTGGCCCAGGGCGGCTCTGCTCAGGGAACCTGGGGCCCCGGCTGGCTGGGGTCTCAGTGGGTGAGGGCGGCAGGGTCACTGACAGCCGTGTGGGGTCAGGAGCCCCCGTCGGCGTTGGCAGGCTCACCACGGCCTGCAGGGGTACGGGGAGCAGCCCCTGTGCTGTGAGGACCCAGGTGACGGGCAGAGAGCTGCCAGCTGCCGTGGGCGTGCCCAGGGCTGGCGTCAGGCTGAGGGACTGGATGGGCAGCTGGACGGGGCTGGGGGCTGCTGGCAGAAAGGGGGGCACCTCGGGCAGGCCCTGCTTCCGGGACGTGGCAGGGCTCTGAGACTGCCCAAGAGCACTCAGCGGGCAGCTCGCAGGGACCGGACCGGGGGCCCTGGAGGCGGCCGGGCCGAGGGCAGAGGCGTGCAGAGTCGGGGCTTGCTCATCCTTGGCTGGCACCCAGGAGCCTGAAGCAGTGGAACTGGCCACCGGAGGGCCTCCAGGCCTGGAGAGCATGACGCTGGGCACTGGGGCAGCTGGGGGGGCCAGCGGCTGGAGGACCACGGGCGAGGAGACAAGCACGCGGGCCGGGAGGATGGCGGGGCCCTGCGCGGCCCTCCTGGCTCGGGCCTCCCGCAGACGCTTCTCCCGAAGCAGCTCAGACACCGTCTTGGGCTTGGGCCGGGGTCTGCACGGGGCCGGGGCAAGTGCTGGGGGCATGGACGCTGTGCAGCAGGCCTGCGTCCCTCTGCCCACCTCAGGGTAGGTGCCCTGCTTTGCGGCCCCTTGGGCCGGCACGCTCTGGGTGAGGCAGCCTGCGGGGAGGATAGAACGCACGCTGAGGTGCGTCCGGCAACGGGCCCTGCGTCCCAGAGAAGGGCCCAAGGGGCAGGGGCGGCTGCTAGGGCTGTGTCTGTGCTGAGGGCTGTTGGTCTGCCTGCACATCCCCAGACCCCACCTCGAGGGTGCCCCGAGCCCCCACACTCTGCCCCGTCCAGGGCGGGCCCGGGGGGAAGGCCAGCCCCCAATGGCCCTGCACCTCCAACACCCTCAAAGAGACTGCCGGCACCATCACCCTGCCCTTTGCAGTCACCTCCCAGGACCCGGGACCGCTGCCCGATTCTGCTGGTGTGGGGACAGGCGGCTGCCGGCGGGAGAGGCTGTGCCCGATGCCTGGGCCCAGAGGGAGACCCTGCTCCTGGCTGGTTGGTGAAGGCTGACCGCTCACACCAGCCAGGCACCCAAGGTGGGCTTCAGAGACCCCCGCAAGGGGCTGCAACTTAGAGCCTGGGACAGGCCTAGACACAAACCACTCAGACAAAGGGTGGGGCAGGTGGGCGGTACCTGGGGCGCTGTGGGCACTCGAGGGTTCCTAGAAGAGAAGGCAGAACGGCGTCAGCGCCTCAGGGCAACCCCCACGCCTCCCCACGCCGCCACACACAGGGCTGCCCAGCCCCTTGTCCCGCGACACCATGCCAAGGCATCCTTGGGAGAGCCGGAGTCAGTGGGGTCAGGGAGAGGCAGGAGGTCCAGTTGCTTAGGCGGGAGGGCATGGGGCTCCAGGCCTGGATGGGGCACCAGAGCGCCATGTTTGGTCCTCCGACCAGCATCACTCTTCTGTCATTTCCTCCAGTAGTGACCAGGCTCAGGGACGTGGTCCAAGGACCTGGCCACAGGCACCCGGCTGCCACCCCAGGGGCCAGTGCCCAGGGCAGCAGGCGCCCAACGGCTCCCCACCACACCCCCCAGGGGAGGCAGGGCACCAGGGACAGCCAGGGGGCCAGGCAAGCCTAGGTGCCCACGGAGCTCTCCACCCCCTGGACTTGCCTCAGGGGCCCTCAGGGTCCCAGGCCCACCCTGGAGACCCCTAGACTCTCCCGGCAATGGGCACAGGCTGCTCTCGGGGCTGGCCCAGCCTCCGGGAACCCGGGAATGCCTCACTGCCCCGCTGGCCGGGAGGGAAGGGTGGCAAGTGCCTGGGGAGCCGGGCACTCACCCTCAGTCCTCACCTGCGGGGGCGGCGGGTCCCAGGCCCCAGCCTGGAGCAGGGCAGGCGGCCAGGCCTTCCTCTCTCGAACCACCTCCACACAGCCAGGCGTGTCAATCTGGAACAGCTGAGGGATGCAGGGTGCATGGCTGGCACTGCGTGATGGGAGGCTCCCCCGCCCCAAGGCTGTCCGCGGAGGGACTCAGGCCCGCGCTGACTACAGCGGCTCTCGCAGAGCTGCCCGACACCTGGGGGCCTGGAGACCGTGGCCATGTGGCTCCCGCCCCAGCCTGGACTCGGGTCCTCCAGGCTGCCTGCTGCCCACCTCCCCTGCCCCGGCCCAGCCCCACGGGATGTCCAGGCCCTCCCACATGGGGACAGTGGCAGGGACATGCCGAGGCTGCCCCTCCCTCGTTGTCTCTGCTGCCGAGAGTCACAGGCCTGGGAAGGACCTCTTTCAAGGATCTACAGCCTTAGAAAGCCTGGACTTGGAGACATGAATCCACCGCAGACTTCAAAACTCCACCAAAAAGTAAAGGACAAGAGAAGGAAGTTGTGCTCAGAGGCTTCTCACCTGAATGAAGAGGGCGAACACTGGGGTGCTGGCCAAGTGGGCGCCCTGCAGCTGTCTCCTGATGCCATCAGCTGAGGGGACACGGGCACATGAACAGGGCCACCCAGACACCACGCCAGCGGCCGCGGCACTCGACCACAAAGGGGGTGAGGGCCCCAAGAGCAGGCTGGCAGGCGGTCAGAGATGGACGCTCCTGGGCCCCGAGACTCCCGCCCCCCGGAGCATATGCCCCCTATGTGGGCGCCTGCGCACTGGGAATGCCAGGGTGAGCCTTGGGCCCCTTCCTGAACTGGCCACCACACTCTGAGCAGGACGGGGCAGGGGGAGGAGGCAGAACCAAACCCCTGCAGGTCAACACTGAGTGCGCGGACCCCGTCCCTCCACCCTCCCAGGCAGGGCAGGTCCCCGGCCCCTGCCTCTCCTCCTCCCAGGACACCGGGCAGTACCTCGACGCGGCCGCATGGCGGGCCTCGGGCGCACGCACAGCAGGTCGACCTCTCCCACCCACGGGCTCACAGCCATCAGCAGCTTGTGCTCCAGGAGCCTCCACTGCAGGGCGTGCCCCTGGCGCTGTTGCATGGTCCTGGCCCATGGTGGCCGCACGCGGGGCCTGGCCTCGTCCCTGCTGCTGCTACCAGGGCTGGGTCCTGGGGCTGAGCCAGGCCTCTCCTGCTGTGGGAGGAAAAGGCCTCTGGGACACAGGCTGGGCCCCGCTCTGGGGCTGCCACGTGCCCATCCGCGCTGTCCTCTACTCCCACCGGGTGCCAGAGGGCAGGGGGACGCCCAGGCCGGGAGGGGCAGGGTGAGGAGACAGGTGGGTGGCGGGGGTGGGGTGATCCTGGCAGCCTAGGGCACTGCGGCTGGCACCAGCGGCTGGGCCTGTCCTCCGCACGCGCGGCCCTAGCCCCAGGGGTGCCCTGAACAGCCACCCTGCGAGGCTGGCCACCGTTGGGCGCACATACAGCTCCCTGACCGGACCCCGCAGCGCCCTGCACAAGGGCTGTGGGGAAAACACCCCCTGCAGTGAGGTGGCCTCAGAGGAGGGTGGTGGGTCCCTAAGGCCATCCAACAGGTCTGCCCTGGGGCGCCGAGGGCCAGTAAGGGGGAGGATGCCCTGGCAGGGTCCGGGGAAAGGACTCTGCGCTCTCACAGCTCAAGCCTGGACTCAACTCCTGGCCAGGGAACCAGGTCCCACAGGCTGTGGGCGGGGGGAAAGAAAAAGAAAAAGCAAGCAAGCTGGGGTGACGGAGGGGGCTGGCCTCCAGGGAGTCAGCCGCTGTCCAGGGCAGCTCTTGCGGAAGCGGCCAGGAGTGGGTGCTGTGACATGCAATGGGGAGGCCTCTGCCACCACTGGGCGCAGCCCCGGCGACCCCCAGGCAGGGGCATGCCGCCCCCTGCACCCACCTTGCCCAGCGGCCCCTCGGAGCTCCAGCAGTGAGCAATGGCTGGGCAGAGGCACCTGATGCTCCTTGGGTTGGTGCTCCGCCTCCTGGAGGCCAGCTGCCCTGCGGGGGCCGGGGCCATGGCCGGGGCCGTGTCGGGGCCCTCAGGAGGGCGTGGGCAGCCCCCAGCGCCCGCTCCCCACAGCTCCTCAGGGTTCTGCCGGGCGGGCACCCACAGGTCCATGTCTGGCACAGTGTACGGAGCTGGCGGCGGCTCCGGGCTGCCCGCCTGGGCCTCCTCTGGGGCGTCCTTCGGGGCCGCCTCGGGCTCTGAGTCCTCCCAGCTGCCGTCACTGCTGCTCCCGCTGCTGGGGCTCCAGTGCGCCCTACGAGGGGCCCGCCGCCGGGCCTGCCGCTGCCGCTGCTGTGGAGGGAGGGCTCCAGTGAGGGGGAACCAGGCCCAGGCTTGGAGCAGGGGCGCCTGCAGGGAGCCAGGGGCGGGGGCTGGACGTGCTGGGCTGGACCCTCCCCCGCCTCATGAAGAGGCCAGGTCTCTCTCAGTGCTCGGGCACCTGGAAGCAGAGACATGGAGGCCAGACCAGATGTCGCTCCTTCCTGCCCCCCCCAGCTGCTGTCCCCTCATCCTGCCCGGGGCGGGGACCCCTTCTGGCCGACTTTTAGTAAAGCCTCACCCTGACCATGATCTTCCATTTGCTCAGGCACTGGGAGCCTGACCGATGGGGTAGTTCAGAGGCTATTTTTGCCCAGTGACCTACAAGAGCAAAACAACACGGACGTTACTTCCTACAGACGGGCTCTGACAACGCAGGTTCGAAGCCTCCGCTCCGCAGTGTGCTGGCGGCTCCTCCACAGGCTGCACTGGGTTCCGTCAAAACCCTGACGCTGCTCCCCAACCCGAGCAGGTGATGACAGGCTGGCATCCGACTCACAGATGACCAACCCCACGGGGAGGTTCTAGCAAACATACAACTGTGACTAAAGAGCTATCCCTGTTTCTGTAAAATGGCCCTGGAATAGCTGTATGCCCAGGCTTCTAAGGCAGACGTTTCAGATTATCTGGCCTTTTCTTCCACACCGCGAGGGTGGGACGACAAGTCGGGCACTGCTTCTACGGGGCGGTCGGCCCACGTGTGACAGGCCCCTCAAACCTGGCCGTGTGACATCTCAGGGTCTACTCTAAGAAGATGTTATAAACATACCAAGGACAGAGCTACTGAACGCTTAGCCCGTTCCACCTGTGACAGAAAACGAGAAGCAGACGTCCGTCGTCAGAGACTGGGTGAGTAACCCGTGTGCTCCTGCTCAAGAAAGTATGCGTGATTATGGAGGGAAGTCGAGGACACAGGACGTGTACAGACGAAGAGAAATACTGGTAACAGACAAGGTAGCGACACATCGCGAAGTGGAACACAGCTGCTCAATGAAGCGGAAAGACTCGGCTTAAATAAGCCGGCTTCCAGGCGAGCCCCCCGCACAGGGAAGGCCCGGACAGCCGCAGACCAGCGGCTGCCTCTGGTGATGGGAGGCGAGCTATGCTCCTTTCCTTCCTTCCATGCGTCTTCACCCTAAATTCCCTGTAATAAACGTGAGTTAGTTTGTAAGACAAACAACTGCCACCATCTGCTGAGCTGATGGACAGAAAAAGACGAGGCGGAATGGGAATCCCCTGGTGGTGAGGCGGTCAGGACTCCGCTCAGTGCCAGGGCTCAGTTCCTGGTGGGGGAGCAAAGATTCCACAAGCCACGTGGCAGAGCCAAAACAGACACAGACAAACACGGAGCAGAAGGGCCCATGACTGGGGAGGCAGCCTGGGATGAGAGCAAACCACAGCCTCCAGCTGCAAGCCAGGGCCTCAGAGCCGTGAGAAACCCGGACAGCAAGGTGTCCGGAGCTCACTTGAGGGTGCCAAGCGCCCAGAGTGGGAAGACCGCGAGCTCACCTCCGCCCGCTGCCACTCCACAGTTACCACCATGCAGAGAAGACCGGCAGGGCGGGTGTTCGCGGGAGCAGAGGGCTGTGGGAGACAGAGGCTCCACTCTGCACACAGTCTGACGTGAGACCTGAGACGGCGGTTTGGAAGGCGCCTGGGGCAGACACGCAGCTGGCCATGGACAGCCTCTAGGAGGCGGGAGGCAGCAGGACGCCCCTGGCGTGGAGACACTGGCAGCAGCCACTGTCGGGGGCCGAGCCCACCATGGCGCCACCAGGGCAGGCGGGTGCCCTTCTGGAGCCCTCCCTCTAGCCTCCCAGCCCCAGAGACAAGGCCCTGCCCTCCAGCGGCTGGCAGGAGCCCGCACCAACCCACCCGCACCCCGGGCGTGCCGGCAACCCCGTGGGAAGTCCGCCCTGCCCTCCAGGAGGCCCAGAGCCACTGCGCCAGGTGCAGCCTCGCAGCCCAGCGAACTGGGACCCAGCCCCGCCCACCAGCACCACCTCAGCAGTCAGTCCTGCCAGACACCCCACACGGGGCACCCCCAGAGCACAGCACTCTGCTGACCAGAGGATGGCTCCTCCACAAGGTCACTTCGCCAAGACTGGGAGACCTAACTGACCTAATGCTGAGAAATAAACGTAGAGAGGATTAGGCAAGATGAAGTTGATGGTAACATGATACATTACGGAACATTACCACCCTGCTTACGTTGATGGACAGATCACCTGGACAAAAAAATCAATAAGGAAACACTGCCTTGAACAACACATTAGACCATGTGTTAGATGGAATTAGTAGATACATATAGGCACTTCCCAAGTGCTCCAGAGGTTAAGAATCCACCTCCCAATGCAGGGAATACGGATTCAGTCTTTGGCCGGGGAAGATCCCACGTGCTATGGAGCCACTGAACCTGTGTGCACAGCTAGTGAGCCTGTGCTCTAGAGCCCGGGAGCCGTAACTTCTGAGGTCACGTGCTGCAACTACCGTAGGCCCGCGCCCCACAGCAAGAGAAGCCACCTCAGCGAGGAGCCTGCACGCCGCAACCAGAGATGCCCCCGTTCGCCACAGCTAGAGAGAAGCCCATGCCGCAACGAAGACCCAGCACGGCCAAAATAAATACATAAAATGATTTTAAAAATTAAAAAAAATCAATGAAACTAAGTTCTGGTTCTTTGAAAAGATAAACAAAATTGATAAATCTTTAGCCAGACTCATCGAAGAAAATGAAAAGGCCCAAATCACCAAAGTCAGAAATGGAAAGAAGTTACAACCTACACCACAGAAATGTGAAGGCTCGTATAAGACCATCATGGGCTTCCTGGGTGGCTCAGTGGTAAAGAACCCAACTACAACACATGAGAGGCGGGTCTGACCCCTGGGTCAAGAAGATCCCTTGAAGGTTAACGGCAGCTCACTCCAGTATTCCTGCCTGGAGAATCCCACGGACAGAGGAGTTTGGTGGGCTACAGTCCACGGGGTCGCAAAGAGCTGGGCATGACAGCAACTAAACAACGCGAGGTCGTTGCGAAGCGTTGGAAAGCAGAGCCAGACAGCCCCGATGGGACGGGCAAAGGCCTGGAAGAGCACAGCCACCCAAGACTGAGCCAGGAAGAAACACAATCCACGAGCACACTGACTGCCAGGGATAAAGCTGAATCAGCAATAATAATAAACCTCTATAAACAACCAAAAGTCCAGGACCAGATGGCTGCACGCGCGACGTTTCCAAAACACCTGAAGAGGAGTTAATACACCAATGTCCACAGCAGTATTATTTACAACAATACGCGGAAGCAACGTAAGTGACCACTGATAGATGAATGAACAAAGAAAAACAAGTAAGATATATTCCACATATACACGATGGAATACTCCTCAGCCATGAAAGAAAAAAAACCTTCCCGTTTGCAACAACATGGATGGCCCTAGGTGAAGCCAAGTGAAGTCAGTCAGAGAAAGTGTGACCTCACTTACGCATGGAATCTACAAAACAAAGCACACAGAACAGACAGAATGCAGACTCAGATACAGAGCAGACACAGGTGGTTGCCACGGGGAAGGGCTGGCGTGGGACAGCACAGAGGCGGGGTTGAGAGGTACAGACCTCCAGCTACAGAATCAGATCAGCCACGGCATGTGATTCACAAGGTAAGGAATACAGGCAATAACCTTATGCTAACTTTGTATGGGACTGCTGCTGCTGCTAAGTCGCTTCAGTCGTGTCCGACTCTCAGCGACCCCACGGACTGCAGGCCACCAGGCTCCTCCGTCCATGGGATTTTCCAGGCAAGAGTACCGGAGTGGGGTGCCATTGCCTTCTCCATTGTACGGGACAGGTGGTTACTAGACTTATGGTCACTTCATGACAATGCAAATGTTAAAGCCACTATGTGAGAAACTAAAAAATACAAGAACAGAGAAATAAGAACTTACCGACACCGTATTTTTCTATCAATTCAATTAACTTCTCCACTTCTTTAGGATTCCATCGTCCCTTTTTCAAGCTGAAATGTAACCTTCTGATATATCTGAAGGCGACATAAAAACAAAGCGACGTTTTAGAAGCTGAGATGCCCTCCTGCTGTGGTCCTGGCATCTGAGCGGTTTCTAAGCTGACACCCAGAGCACAGGCACCAGAAGAAAAACACAGGCACACTGGACTTGTGCAAAACTAGAAACCTTTGTGCATCAAAGGTCTTTTCAAGGTGAAAAGACAACCCACAGATTAGAAGAGGGGGTCCACAGATCATGTATCTACTGAGACTTGTACCTGGAATATACCAAGCACCCTAACTCAAGTTTAAAAATGGGCAGAGGACAGAAATAGCTATTTCTTCAGAGAAGACACACAAATGGCCAAATAACACACGAGAAAGGCGCTCCACACCCTTCAGGAAATGCAAACCAGAATCACAGTGAGATTCCACTTCACACCACTGGGGTGGCTTGAATCAAAAAGGAAGTGCGTGCGGGCGAAGACGTGGAAGACAGAGGCCCTCCTACTCTGCTGAGGGGGATGTATTTAAGACAGTGAAGCCACTCTGGAAAATGGTCACTCCTCGGAAGGTTAAACAGAATCCCCACACGACCTAATGATTTCACTTATAGGCAGAGCTGAGAAGAACGAGTATGCACATGCACACAAATGTGTGCTTTCGAGGTTCGGTCACGGTGTGACGCGTGTGAGAACTTCACTCAGTGTCCACACGTCAGAGCCGCACCTTGCTGACCCACTCATCTGCCGACACTGGGGTCACGCCCTCCTTCCGCTATGCCCAGTGCTGCTGTGAACAGGGGCGGACAAACGTCTGAGTCCCTGATTTCCACTGTTTTGGGTACAGGGTGGAATTGCTAGACAACATGGTGTGCTAAGTTGCTTCCGTCGTGCCTGACTCTGTGCAACCCCGTGGACTGTAGCCCACCAGGCTCCTCTGTCCGTGGGATTCTCCAGGCAAGAACACTGGAGTGGGTTGCCAGTTCCTTCTCCAGGATAATACAGCAATTCTCTGTTCACCTTTTTAGGAATCCCTGAACTCTTTTCCACAGTGGCTGCCCCGTTTCAATCCCACCAAGAGTGTACAAGGGTTCTGATTTCTCCGCATCCCCTCCAACACTTGTTATTTCCTTTTTACAAAACATGAACCATTCTAAAGTGTGTGAAGCGGTATCCTGCTGTGGCTCTGACTTGTTTCTATAGTGACTGCGTCACCGTTCTTCACATGCTCAACGGCCGTTTACACATCCGTGTTGGAGAAGCATGCCTTCAGGTCCACCATGCGTTCTTTGTTTTCCCCTAAATACTTGTTCATTTCTTTGGCTGTGCTGGGTCTTAGTTGTGGCCTGTAGAATCAAGTTCCCTGACCAGGGAAGGAACCCAGGCCTTCTGCATTGGGAGCATAGACTCTTAGCCACTGGACACCAAGGAAGTCCCTCTGGTCCATTCCTGAATTTTTCTTTTTTGGTAGGAAGTAGTGTTTTCTTTGTGGGGTGATCAAAATGCTCTGGAATTATGATGATGGTTACATAGCTCAAGAAATACACCCAAACCTGCAGAACTATCTACTTTAAATGAATGGTTTGTATGTGAATTATAGAATAAAGCTGTTTAAAACAAGCCCCGGGAAACTGCCACCAGCGGATCCTGAGGGACGTCCAGTGGAGCCCATGCACACGTCTGGCTTCCAAAGAAGCGACCCTGCTTCCCGAGCGGGTCCATCCGCGTCCTCCACGCCCCAAGGCCACACCCTCGTCCCACGCCAGCAGGCCATCCTGAGGAAGTCTCCCTGCCTGTCTGGTGGCCCACCCAGAAGCAGCCCCAGCAAGCCTTCCTTTGCCCAGAGCTGTCCCACTCACCGATCTCGGCACTGGGCATCGCTCCTACCTGGCACCTCTTCCCGGATTTTAAACCAATCTTGCTCCCCATACTTGGCAACTGCTTGCAGCAACTTCTGCAGGAAGACAGAAGCGGAGCCGGTCACAACCTGCCTATCCCAGGCCAGCCCAAACTCCAGGCCCCAGTCCTCAGTCCCACAGACGTACCGCGTCCTCCTCTGGGGCCCAGAGCCCCTTCTTCAGGCCGGGGTCCAGGCTCTTGGTCCAGCGGTAGATGAGCTGCATGGAGTCCCGCCCCTCCATGTAGTAGACAACTGTAGACAGAGGGGGCTGGTTGGTGCTGAGCTTCCTGGGTCACCCAGAGAGGAGCCACACTGACCACAGAGAACTGACCGCAGGCGGCCTGGACGGCACAGCACCTCCCCCCGCCCCGCCAACTGGGACCAGGGCCTCGCTTGGCGGGCACGGGACTCACTCCTCCGGTAGGGGATGTGGCTGCCAACGCGCATGGCCTGCACGAGCCGCGTGAGTACGCGGTCCTCCTCCTCCGTCCACTCCTTGCGCTTCAGGGCTGGATTGTGCTGCTGGTACTGCTGCAGGCACTGGAAGGCGCTGCGGCGTGTCTGCGGGGCCAGAGCAGGGCAGGGGTTAGCGGGCCGCCCCAGGGGATGGTGGAAGGCGCTGTGGTGCGTCTGTAGGCCGAGAGCAGGGCAGGGGGTTACCAGGCCGCTCCGGGGGACGGTGGAGAGCACCCTGACAGAAGGCCCAGGGCCACTAAAGAGGGTCCCTGACATCAGCTCATCAAAGCATGTCCACAAACATCACAGCACCTCCCTGACATGACAGTACAATCACTGCAAGTGCAGATTCCCAGGGGAGGCCCCCCGCTCGGCCAGGTCTGCGGCAAAGGCGCCCTGCGCTACAGGCTGGGCCGCGGCCCTGACAGCAGCCTGAGGCAGTCTCTGAAGGCCCCATCAGGGGCGGCTGAGAGGTGCACGTGTTGGGATGGGGTGCTGGAGAGTCCCTGGGGTGGGGCCTATGTCCAGGGACGCCCTCTCAAGGAGAGCTCTGAGGTGAAGGCCCCCCAGCTTCCAGCTGCACTCCAGCCGAGCACGGAGCCCCCGGGGGCCCACTGTAAACATTTTTGGGCCTATCTGCCCCTCACTCATCTGTGGAAAAGGGGTTTTCCATGAGCCCCCTGTGGTGACGTGAAGTGTCTTCTCTCCCAGAGCAAGCTCTCTGGTTACAAAGCACAAGGGTTGGCGATGTCTTCTGAGACATCAAAAGTACGATCTGTAAAGTAAAGAATTCCTAAGCTGGACTTCACTGAAGTTAAAAAGACAATGGCAAGAGAATTAGAAGACAATTCACAGACCAGGAGAAGATACCTGCAAAAGACACACCCAATATGGACGGTTACCTGAATCACATGAAGAACACTTACAACTCCACGTCACAGCGCGAACAACTCGACCACAAACTGGGCCGAGACCTTAACAGACACCTCACCAAAGGCGACATATGGAAGGCAAATAGGCGCGTGGGGGAAGTGCCCTCTCACAAGTCGTCCAGGAAAACGCAGATTAACCCGAGATCCTACAAGAGCGGCAAGATACAGAACCCTAACGCACCAGCCAGGGGTGCGAGCGCAGAACGGCGCAGCCATTTCGGAGACAGCCTGCTGGCTCCTCACAAAGCTAAGCACATCTGTACCGTGATCCAGCAGTTGTGCTCCTAGGTATTTATCCAAAGGTGTGAAAACATCCCTCCACCCAAAAGCCTGCACGTGGATGTTAACGGCAGTTTTACCCATAATTGACAAGTCCTGTAAGCGCATCCAGGATGCCCTTTGGTAGGTGAATGGAAAACTCTCGTCCACCTAGGCAATGGAATATCAATTGGTGTGAACGAGAAGAGAACCATCAAACCATGAAAAGACATGGAGAAACCTTAAATGCATATTGATGAGAACCACGACAAAGTGTAGATCTATCCCTAGTAAAAAAGAAAAAAAAAAGCTACATCTGGTGAGTGATGCTTGTAACAGGCGAGGCTGTGCATGTGTGGAGGCAGAGGGTGTGTGAGAAAGCCCTGTGCCTTCCTCTCAGGCTTTGTTGTGAACCTAAAACATCTTTAAAAAAACAAAACAGCCTTGGGAATTCCTCGGCTGTCCAGTGGTTAAGATGCCGCGCTTCCACTGGAGGGAGCATGGGTTTGATCCCTAGTCAGGGAACTAAGATCCCACAAGCCTCATGGCGCAGCCAAAACAAAACAAAAAAACAGTCTTAAAAATAACTGGGCTTCCCTGGTGGTTCAGTGGTAAAGAATCCGCCCGGCAATGCAGGAGACATGGGTTCGATCCCTGATCTGGGGAGATCCCACATGCCTCGGAGCAATGAAGCCCGTGTGCTACAACCACTGAAGCCCTCGCACCCCACAGCCCGTCTCTGCAGCAAGAGAAGACACTCGAGAAAGTGCACACGCGGTGAGGAAGACCCAACACAGCCAAAGTCGAATGAACAAATAAAAGAGAAACGCTGCGGGAGCAACAACACAGGGAGCACCTCCCTGGGGGTCCAGTCGTCAGGACTCAGCATATAAAGTGACTTTTTAAAAGCGCCATTCACCAAGTGAGTAAACGCATGCGCACTAGGCCGCACAGCATCTGGATGCAGTCGCCAAGACCATCAGAGACAAAGGACAGAAGGACTTGTTTTGCGCTGTCACGCCAGGTTCCAGCCTAGTCGCATGAACACAACTGCTTCGGAGCAGAATTCATGGATGTAACAAACTCTACTTAACAGACTTTCACAGACTCCTAGACTCAGGACAGAGGACACACTTTCATTTTTAAATGGCTTTGCTAAGTTTAGCTGAGTTTGTTGCAACCATGCACTTGGTCACAAAAGTGAGAAATTAAAAAAAAGTGATTTCAAGGACTTCCTTGGCGGTCCGGTGGTTAAGACTCCATACTTCCACTGCAGAGGGTGCAGGTCTGACCCCCGGCTAGGGAGCTAAGATCCTGTGTGCCAGGTGAAGTGGCCAAAAAAATAAAACGAGAATAAATTTAAAAACTGCCATAAAATTCAAACTGAAGAATAAAAGGGTTTCTAAGAAACCTCACTGTTTAAAAATGATATAGCATACTTCTACATAACTTAAGACAATGAAACCTATACTCACTCCAAAACCAATAAAAAGGAGATGTTTTGTACCATGCTGTTCTCAGAAAACTGGGCCTTAAACACCATCTTCACTAAAGAGAGGTGAGAGTGAGAACTCAGTCCCTGCCTTAGAAGACGAGAAATAACAAAACCCAAAGGAACCGGGTAGTCTTCCCAGACCACCAGAGCACACTCCAGAGCAGGAGGCGAGGCTTGTGAAGGGGACTGAGCGGGCGGAACACCGAGGCTGCTCTGGGGCATCGCAGGAGGTGGTGTGGTCCGAGCAGCCTCTGACCTCCTCCAGCCGCCCTCCCGAGTGGCCAGAGCAGACCCTCTGGCGGCTCCAAGGGCGGGCCCTGGCTGCGGCGTGACCCTCACCCCCAGCTCCTCGGCGATCCTCTGCCAGTCCAGGTGGCCGTGCTTGGCCGCGACGGCCTTCAGCTGAGCCACCTCCTGCTCGCTCCACTCCTGCTTGTTGATGCTCGGGTGCTCGTAGTTCTGCCAGAACTTGCGAATCTCCTCCGTGCTGCGGCCTCCCTCGAACTGTAGGGAGACAGACAGACAGACAGACCTGTCCATGTGGCCGAGCCGCGGAGAGTGGGGTCTCTGTCCAGGCTGCTGGGAAGTGCAAGTGGGGAGGCCCCCAGAGCAATCCACGCTGCTGGACGTGTGTGTGACCAGAGGGAGTCCCGGCAGGCCTAGTTGCTCATGCAGATCATGGCCTCAATGACCAGTGCCGGCCCCGCCCTGGCCGCTGGGACTCACATTGACGTTGGAGATCTTGTCCCAGTCATGGCCGTCCAGCCTGTCGCCTAGCAGGGCCTCCTCCGGGAGCTGACTGCAGAGAGGGTGGGGACACGGGGTCACGCTGGCCCTCAGCTCCCTGTGGACCACGCCCGCCCCAGCAGGATCGCTCACTTGATATCCTGCACCTCCTTCTCCGCCTCCCTGGCCTGCTTCTCCAGGACCTGCCTCTCCAGCTCGCTCGTGGCCCTGTTCTGCTTCTGCTGCAAGTACTCCAGCCTGTAAGGCAGGGAGAGGCACCTGTGGGACCGACGGCGATGCTGTGTCCCGCGGCCGGCCGGCCGGCCTGGCTATTTCACGGATCTGGGCAGGAGCCTGCAGAGCTGGTCAGCTGCCAGCACGCTGCGTGGCACAGCTGTGGGGAGCACAGGCTCCAAAGGCCGACCCTCCCCCGCAAACAAACCCCCAAAAAAAGCAGCAGCCCTGCGTGAGGTGTCGTGACAGGCATGCGGGCAGCACACATGGCAGTGCTGACACAGGAGACACTCCTGGCACCCAGCATGTCGCCTGATCCCCGGATGTGCTGGCCCTCAGGGACAACCGCCTCCAGGACGAGCCGAACTTCACCCGAGGCGTGACCCCACTGCCCCCAACAAGCCTAGACCCACGCAAGCCAAGAGGTGGCCCTGGGGACCCCTGGCCGGATCCCAGGTGCTGCGGTGTGGTCAGGAGACCCCACCCTGTCAGCACACGTGGAACACCCATCTTGCCAACAGTCCTCTTTCTAAGCCCAGGCCGACGACTCACAGGGAGGACAGGCCGGCCCTCACACGCCCCACCTGAGGGAGAGGCCAGGAGCAGTGCCGCCCCCGCTGCAGGGGAGGGATGCTGGCAGGGCAGTGGGCGCGGCCACCAGGGCCTCTGGCCATGGAGCTGCCAGCCTGCCCGGCCTTGCCCCAGGGCAGGGAGCCTCCGGACTCACTTGAGCAACTTGGGCTGGAGCAGCCGCTGCAGGCGGTCACTCACCACCGACTTCCTGAGCAGGACCCTTTCCCAGGTCTTCCCTGCAGAGAGACAAGAACGCGGACAGGGGTAACTCAGGGTCACACCCCGTTAGCAACAACCCCCAGCCCACCCCATCCAGCCCGTGGCAAGGAAGTGAACGAGCTGAAGGAGGCCACCCGGGACTCGCCCCCAGCACACAGCCCAGGGCAGGGAAGAGGCGGGAGAGGATGGAGCGAGCCCGGGGGAGGCCCGCTCTGTCCCTCACAACACGACCCATGACCAGGCTCGGTGGGGAAGGGCAGGCCCTCAGGTGACCGGGCCAGCGGTCGGGGCGGACTCCTGGGGCGGGGCGGGACAGGCAGCTGCCGGCTGGGCCGGGGCTCATACACTTGGTCACCAGGAGCTCCTCGAAAGCCTTGATGCCCTGGGCAGCCTTCTCTCGCGTGTCCTCGTTGGCAGGAGGCCCCTGTCGGAGAACATTGGGTCACGCTGTGGGCAAAGCCAGGTGTGCCCCCCGCCGGGTCTCGGGACCCTGTCCCCCAGTGTGTGTGGACGCCTGAGCCTAGAGCACAGCCTGAGGACTGGCTCCGGACACCACCTGCTGGCGCGACGCAGCCCTGACGTTCCCTCCTGGAGCCGGCAGGGTTTCAGTTCAGCGAAGCTGGGGAACGCTCTCCTAAGAATTCGAGAAACTTCCAACGCCCACAGCAGGGTGTGGGGACACGAGCAGAGTGCGGGCCACTCACCACTCCCGTGACCCTGTCCCTGAAGTAGGGCTTCATGAAGTGTCCGAGGTATAGGTTCGGGGGCGGGCTCCTGCCGTCCTTCACCTTGGGGCCCCTGACACCTGCGAGGTCGCCCATGATTTCCTCCTGCAGCAGACACAGGGGGCCACCAGTGAGTCAGCCAGCAGGGGCTCCCCTGGAGGAGGGGACCCAGGGCCCTGGCCCCCAATGCCGGGAGGTGGCGCCTCCCGGGCCAGGCCCGCCTGACCTGCTGCTCCCGGTTCTGGGCCAGCAGCAGGCTGACCTCTGCCAGCTTCTCCCGGACCACCTCCTGATAGACCATGTTCAGCTGCAGGCAGGTCTCCGGGTCTTCAGGGAGCGCCTTCTCCTTGGGGTCGTCCTCGTCGTTGCTGGCCTCACCCCACCTCTCTTCCTCCTGGAGACAAGCAGGAAACTGCAGGTGAGGGACACTCGCGCAGCTGAAGGGCCCCAGGTGAGCTGCGTTCTGGCCGCTGGGTCAGTGTGACGCCACCCTGACCGTGGACCACATAGCGCCTGGACACATCCCCTAGTTTACAATGATCCCATTTAGATGGGAAGTGGGAGAGAGGTTCAAGAGGGGGGAACACGTGTATACGTATGGCTGATTCATGCTGATGTGTGGCAGAAACCAACACTATGTTGTAACACAATTACCCTTCAATCAAAAACGAATAAGTTTAAACAACAACAAAAAAAATGATGATTTAAAAAAAACCAATTTTCAGGCCATCTCTTAAGAGTACACCTCAGGTGAAAAACTGAGGAGATGACCAATTTTCACTGTCGACAGTAAAAACTCCCGTAAAACTTGGACTCACTGTACAACAGGTTTGCTGGCAGACGCGGTGAGTAGGAACATGGGCCCCGCAGTGCTGGCGAGACTGAAACCAGAGCTGACCCAAACATCCACCCCAAGGTGGCGAGTCTAAAGGCTACTACGGTAAAGCCCTGTCAGGAGGCCCCTCGGCTATCACAGACAGGAAGCAGTTCCATGTTTTTTGACTTAGTGGAAAAACAAAAACCAGTTATAAGAATTTCCCAAACTAACAGAAAAACCCAAGATAAACAAACGACAGGCACTCGGGGCAGACCCGAGTGCGTCCTCTGCCTCCAGCTGCTGTTCTAGGGTCTGCCGCGTGTGCACCGACCGGGCTGTCACTGCCCCCGAGGCTCAGACAGGTGACTACGGGGCAGGACCAGGCAGCACACCCAGCCTCCCCGAGTCATGTCCAGCTGAGGTCGGTCTGGCAGGAGCTAAGAGAAGGCGACAGGTGTGAACGCCCAGCTGTGATGACGGTATCTCCAGGGACATGTGTACTTCTGATGACACCCGTTTTCTCTTGACTGACAACACCCATGGTACTTTAATAACGCAGAAGAGCCAAGATGAGTTCAAAGCATGCCCCCTCCCCAGACCCACTGGAAGGGTGGTGTGCCCGCTTCAGCAGGCACGGCCACCTCAGGCCACAGGTTACCGACAGCAGTGGGCCAGCGGCGTCTGAGTCCGAGTCCTCGTCGGGCAGCGAATCTGCAGGAATGCAAGCACATGGTGTCGGTGACCAGCGCTGGACACAGCTGCTGGGGATAGATCCCACAGCTGCTGAGACTAACCGGCCAGGGCAGCCTCAGACCGGGGGATGCTGAAGTGAGGTGGTCCACAGGGGACAAAAGGCCTGGGTGGGACGCGTGCTGCGTGGACCTCCCGTCCCCGCCGCCTATGACCGGGGGGGAGCTGAGCATGGCCCTCTGTGTGCAGTGGGCACTGGGCCGAGGGCAGGATCAGCCAGAAAGATGAGATATCAGCATAACATGGCGTTTCCCCAAGCGTAGAGAGAACAGGAACCGCAGGGACAACTAGGGCAGACGTCACGTGAGGCAGCTCTGTCCTGGGGGGACTGCAGCTGGTCAGCTGGGGAGAAGGGACAGGCACAGAGGCCCAGTTCCAGGTGAGAAAAGGCCCGTGTAGCTGGGAACCGTGAGAGGCTCAGCCTTAGGGCTGCACCTAAGCCTGAGCGGGGGGAGGCTGGGTCCCTAGAGGGCTCGGTCTCTGCAGGCAGGCCTCAGGCCAGAGCTGATGGGAAGGACACTTGGGGCCCGGGAAGCACATGGGGCAGGCAGAAGGGGAGCCCTGGCAGCAGGGGCCTCAGACAGAGGGCAGCCTCCCAAGCACCAGGAAGAGATCCAAGAGATCTCAGCTATGGCTGGCTGTTCAAGCCGGGGGGCGGCCAACAAGCTGAGGCCAGGAGCCTTCTGATACCTGAGAAGGAGAGCAGGGCCCCCCTCCCAGGACAGCCTGTGGCACCAAGGGGCAGGGGCTGATGTGGGAGCGTGGTGACGCTGCCCAGCAGACTGAACACCCAGCGGCGTGACGCACTGCGGCTGACCGTGGTCCAAGGGCAGACACGGCCGCTCTGACTGAGAAGCGTGGGCGCTGACCTGCATCCGAATCTGAGTCGAGACTGGACTCCGAGACATCCACGCTGAGGCTCGAGCAGCAGGGGTCCAAGATCCTCTCCAGCTGCTGGATCTCCCTGGAGATCCTTTCTCTCTCAGCATCCACGTCCATGACGCCCCACCTGCAACACATCCTGAGATGTCAGAAACCCAGAGCACGTGGGAACCCCGACTGCCCCTCGGATGCTCAGCCTTGCGGGGGACGGCGGAAGCCTGACCAAAGCAGGCACTGGGCTCCGAGAGGCCCAGGTGTGACAACGGTATCTCTGGGGAGCCTTGGGCCTACCTGGCACCCCCAGGGCCCTGTGAACTCCTGCTCTTTGCCTTGTCAGCCACGCTGAGGCTGCAACCAGTACCGGGGGGTGGGGGATAGTGATGGATAACACCACCACCCGGCTGCCTGCTCTGTCTTCCCACCAGGGAACCATGAGTGAGTTGCTTACCCAGTGCATCAAAAGGAGAGCGCGGTGGCAAAGTCACTAGAAGACAAGGATGAGGCCCATGACCCCGAGGTGCAGCCGCTCGCCCCCCAGCACAGAGCTGCTCACACAGGGCATCAGGCACCAGACAAAATACACACCCACCAGCTGGCAGGGTTCAAAGCCTCGGAAGGAAGCCCCCTCCGAGAGGGCAGGGCCTGCTGAAGCCCCAGCATCTAGCACAGCACCTGGCTTTCGGGACTGAGCCTGAACAAGCCTCCAAGAAAGGAACAGTGACCTCTTTTTCTTCGGGAACAACAGTCTGGGACGTCTAATAAGGGAGTGGGAGAATAAACTGGCGGCAGCGGAAACATCAAGTAAACACAAGCACAGACTCAGAGATCAAAACACGCAGAAGCCCCTTCCCACCGTGGCCAACTCCCCCCAACTCTCGCCCCCCGGTGCAGGCGATCGGAGGCCTCCACTGCGACAAACAGGGCCGCCGCCGCCACCGGGAGCGCCCCCAGCTCGCGGGCGGCGGGAACGAGGCTTCCAGGACGGGCGGCGGAGCCCGGCCGCTGGGCCGGCGGGCCCGCGACGGGAACCCTGCGATGACAAGACCCTGCGCGGATCCCGCTCCCCAGCCGGCCAGCATCCCGTCCCTCGCCGCTCCTCCCCTGCCGCCCCCGGGCCCTCCCCGGTCGCTTCTCCTCCCGACCCTCCTCCGCCCGCTCCTCACCTGGACTCGAAGCCGGCCCCTCAGCCTCCACGCACACGCTTCCGGAAGCCGCACGATTACGTCGCCGCGAGCCGGAAGTCCCGCCTTCCCGGCCGCGGCGGAAACGCAAGGCACGTCGGGACCGGGCTCTCGCGGCGGGCCGGTGGTGCCCCCGCGCGGCCAACCTTGGGACTGGGCGCATCCGAGGGCACTCGGCTAAGGCACCCGGGGGTCGGATCTCCTGCAGCCGCCCTCGAGCCTGTCTGTGCTGGTTCTCCGTGAGTTGTCCCCAGGGTTTTGCTAGAGGAGCCGAGGAGAAAACCCGCCGAGTGCTCAGGGCTGTCCTGGCCATGGCCACGTGGGGGAGGCCAATTTGCCTCTCCGCGGCCAGGGTCCCGGGATGGGTGGGAGCCCGCGCCCCTCGAGCGAGCCAGCGATGGGGCTGCAGAGCTGTCGGTGCATCCCTGCTCACCCAGCACCCGCGTGATAGCCCAGGACCGGACCCCACGGAGTTCAGACCCACAGGCAGAGATGCCTGGTCAACAAAGTCAAGCCAGTGTGACTTGTCATCTTGTTTTCTTGTTTTCTTTTACTGTGGGACACTTCAAGCTGCCCTGCCTCTTGCCCAGTCAGCTTGGCCTGTGGGCCGGTAGGTGAAGGGAACTTGCCGATGGTGATCTGGTGCCCTCTATGCAGGGCCGTGCGGAGAGCCACCCATGCCCTCACGTGTGCCCACGTTACAGACGCTCTCAACACTCTCCCGCTAGACTACCAGGTCTCAAGTCTGCTCTGAACACTGACCTGGGAGCCCACTTCTCACCAATGGGCAGGGGCAGGAGGTGTGAGTGGGGGTAAGGTATAGGTCAGAGGGAGCCAGAGGGGGCCCTGTATCTTAGGGCCAGAAGCCCTTAGACTTCTGAGCTAAGATCAGAGGGCCTAGCCATTTGAACATCTTGGACGTCCGACCACATGACAGCAAATGCTCCAACGCCAGACTCCAGTGTGTCCCACTCGGGACACAGAGCCCTGCTGTGCCTGCAGGTGTCCACAGCGCTTGGTCACTGTGGCCAGGCCCAGCAGCAGTTGTGGGCAAAGCCTAACCCCACAAGCTTCATTATCAGCACAAACCACCTGTTAGAACAAGGGTAACTGTGATTCTCAAACATAAAGAGCAGGCTCAATTAGGAAAAAAAGGGACACCGCGTACGACTTTTAGTTTATTAAATAAGAAAACTGTTGATTTGAATAGGGGGAGAAAAAGACGTTTATTTTTAAAAATAACACCCACAGGAAAACAGCCCAAAAGGCATCTAGTGTATGTTACAGCTACCCTCCGACAGGAAGGAGCTGGAAGGCACCCTGGGAGGCCTCGAGCTGACCCGGGAAGTCTGCCCATGCTCTACATCCCTGAATCCTGCATGTCACTGCACAGTATGCCACTGGAAACGCCTATCAAACCCTCCAGCCAGAGTCCCCAAGTCTGAAGGCCCATGAAGAGATGCTCTTAGATGGTGTCCCGCCGTGGAATGCCTGTGCTGACCTTGGTCCCTAGGGAGACAACAGCGACCACCTCACAGGGCGTCTGTGTTCAGACCACCAACCGCAAGAGCCCTCCCCCGCCAGAAGCTGAAGGAGCAGACAGTAAGCCAGGGGCGCGCTGAGTGAGGGCGGTAAGGCACCCCTGCCCAGGGCAAGCACATCCTTTATGGCCCGGGTGGTGTGTCTCTGCTCACAAAATCAAAGACGATCGACGTGATCATCTTACAGCCAGAGCTCTGGAATGACGATGGGAAACACTACAGAACCGCTGCTTTCGTTTACTAACTTAAAAAAAAATCACTGGCTTTTATAGAATTGCCTTCGAGTAGATGATCAGCGTCTATGAAGCAGTGTGGAGCTCACCTAGACAGGCTACACAGAAGCGCAGGTGTGACTCCGGTGTGTGGCTAATAACAGTGCTACAGGTCATGAAGTTAGCGTCTCATGATAAAGTTTTACTGTGGGTGAAGACTGCACACTCAGAGACGCTGTGGCATCTTGGAATCCGTCGGGAAGTGTTTTTAGGATGTAAACAGAGCTGGGAGCTGGAAGCACCTCCGTAGTTCTCACGACTCCTCCCCTTGGTCTTTAATTTCAGAAATTCTGTCTATAGATTTAAGGATTTCAGCAACGAGATTCAACGTTTCAGCTCCAGAAACTAGCTGCCTGAAACGAAAGCCCAGAGGTGACAGATGGCTTCTATTAATACAACCGCTCCAGGGCAGTAACAGCAGCACTGGGAGTTCCCTGGTGGCCCAGTGGTTAGGGTTCCATGCTTTCACTGCAAGGAGCAGGGGTTTGAGCTCTGGCTGGAGAACTAAGAAGCCGAAAGCTATGTGGTGGATCCTGACCCCATCCCCGCCCCACAAAAAATACTCCCCAAACAAACACACAAAAAACCCAGAGTGTTAAAGCAAAGAAGGTCCCAATCAAACACTGCAGTTTGTTCAATATCAGATTTACTCTCCAGACATACCACGCATTCAACTTAAAGTGAATGGCCTGCACTGCCTGTGGCTGTGGCTGCACACCACTACCTGCTGAGCTCAACCCAGGGAGACAGAGGACTCGGCCAAGGACGCCTCCCGGGAGCCTTGCTCACGTTTGTGTGTTTTTACAAGAGAGACAGTGCTATCATCCTTTTTCACCCAAAACCTTGGTAGATGTCTTGCAGGCGATTAAGACCTGCCTGATGTTAACCCTCAAGCCTTCCAGGTGAGAGTGGTTATCACTTATCCCCACGTGGCCGGGGAGGGGCTGCTGGCCGAGGCCGCCTCCCATGACCCTGGGGTGAACAGGGTCACGAGCCCTGCCCCCCAGCCTGCAGCTTCGATAGCGGCAAAGCCCCGCACTCACTTGATGGAGGCGTGCGCGTTGTTCATGACCACGCGGAGGTTCTGCAGGGCCACGTCCGTGTTCTGCTTCACCACCGTCAGGCTGGCGCCCTGGCCTGACCGCAGGGCTTCGTTCTCACGCTTGAAGTTAGAGATCTGGGCCTGCGGGGAGGGGAGAGGTTACGACTTTCCTGGCTGAACAGGAAAGCGGCCAAAGAGGCCGTTCGGCTGAAACCAAGCACCGCACCCGAGGTAGTACGACCAGAGACCATCCCATCTGTCCCCCACGACGAGACGCCCGGCCCTGACCGTGGGGACAGGGTGGGGCGGACCCACGACGAGACGCCCGGCCCTGCGGGGCGGGGCGGGGGGCTCCTGAAGCACATGACCTCTCCCCGTTGCTGGCACCGTGCCCGCCATCTGGGGTGCTCGGACCCATCCCCAGCCCGTGTGGGGCTCGACCAGGAGGCCCTGGGAAGGCAGCTGACACTGTCCTCCTTCGGGTGCTTTGTCTTGTTGGGAGGGACTGGAGGGGAGGGTGGGGGAGGAAAGGCTCTTTCACACACACGTGAACTGGTGAGACCCTCTTGTTACCTGGAGCAAGCTGACTTCCTGTTTCAGTTTCAGGACGTGATTTTCTGCCTTTACTGCCCGTTTCTGTGATTCCCCCGACCAAGAAAGAAAAAAAAAAGCCATCAATGACATGGCAGCTTGGACACAGAATGCATCCCCTACGTTCCCGTCACCTGGCAGGCCCACCCGATGGCTGCGCAGCCCATAGTGAGGGACCCCTGCTCACAGCCCCCTGCCTGGGCCCCCCACAGGGAGTGACACACCCAACTCTTTACGATGGTGGGCCCGCCCACCTCTCCCACTGCAAACAAGGACCCTGTCTGCTCACAGTCATGAGCTCCAGATTCTGCTCCACCTGCTGCACCACGGACTCCAGGTCGTGATAGTCACTCTCCTCCTTGATCATTTTCGCTTCTAACTTCCGCTCAAGTGTCCTCACCCTTGTTAAGGAAAAAGCCTGAGTTATCAGTAACTCCTGTGACTAATTCTAAGAATTATAAGACTGTCAGGAGTTTTGACTGGATTGATCAGATAAATATCACAAGAGCCCGAGGTTAAAGAATGCACCTGGAGAGGCACAACCTTGGAGCTAGACACACGTCAGGGCTCACGGTCAGGGGCGCCCGGGGTGGTGGGGGGAGGCTGTCTGACAGCTCCGCTACTCCATCAAGTGTGGTTGGCTTTGCTCTAATGTTTTCAAATAAACTTTAACACAGAACATAAGAAATATATCTGACACTGAGGATTTAATGCAATAAAACCCAGGCTCAGTACAACTCTGATACTTCATTATCGTTTTCACAGTGGTTTCTCTGAGGGTCAGGATATAGTTTGAGGTGCGAGCCTATCTAAAAGCTTACATACATTTCTGTTTGAGTTTCAGAGAAGCTCTGAACCTCAGTCAGCTTTCTTCTTAGCTTAGAATTCTCATCTTTCAGCTGCAGAAAAAGAAAATCCTTATTAGAAACTCAGTGTCTCACTCAAAAGGAGTCTTCATTTTCGCTATTTGGCTCTGGAACTTCTTAATAAACAAAACCATTCCAGAGAATCACCCTATAGTCCACACGGAGAAAAAGAGAACAGAAGTGTCTGCTTTTTAGAACTTGTCACAGACTCCACTTTCATTCAGACCTAATAGCTCTTTCTAAGTGACTGCAATCTTTTCATCGGGCAAGCTGTTCCCAAGCTGCTGCCTGGAGTGGACCGTTTTCTGAGGGGCAGTGCTGTGAGGCTCTCCCCCTGCCTCTGTTCACGCCGGAGACTGGCCCCCAGCAGTCCTCTGCCAGTCCTCGGGACTTTGCGGGCACCCACACGGTCAGCACGGGGGCTCTGGCGCAGCTGCGGCACCACAGACGTTCGTCCTTGGAGCCCAAACCCCAGGCCATGGAGGACGCCGGGGGCTCCGGCATCCTCCAAGAATGCTGCTCAGGCACGAGCCGTGACCAGGGCGGGGTGCCGACGCAACACCCCCTCACTTACTGCTTCGTAACTTATCTGCAGCGTCCGAAGGTGCCTGTCCCCCAGACTCTCTCCGTGGGCTGTGAAGTCAGCGCTGGGGCTCCCCGTCGGGGAGATGCGAGAGTCAGAGTCGCTCAGCGTCCATGGGGGCAGAGACTCGGGCCCCACCAGCTCCGACGTGTTGGAGAAAAAGGAGACGTACGTGCTGCAGGGCGATGTGCTGGCGGCTACCCTGGAGGAGTGCGTCTGCTCCATGGCGGACGGCAGGTAGGCCCCGTTCCACCCATCGTCCCCGTCCTCGTCCTCGTCCAGGAGGTCGCCAGCCCCCGTTGGGTCTTCAAAAAACGGCTGCTGATATTCCAGGCCATAGCCCACAGTTTGGGAAGCTGGGGAGGTGCGGTCGAGTCCCAGCGAGTGCCTCGTGGCTTCCTAGAGAAGGCGGGGAAGCAATGCTCAGACTCAGGCAGCTGCAGGCCGTCCCTCCCAGACGTCTGCTGCCGGCACAGAGAGAAAGGACCCGGCGGCCCTGAACCCAGGCGCCGTGGCCGCGCCTTGCCCCCCACCTCGCGCGCGTCCCCTGAACCCAGGCGCCGTGGCCGCGCCTTGCCCCCCACCTCGCGCGCGTCCCCTGAACCCAGGCGCCGTGGCCGCGCCTTGCCCCCCATCGCGCGCGGCCCCTGAACCCAGGCGCCGTGGCCGCGCCTTGCCCCCCATCGCGCGCGGCCCCTGAACCCAGGCGCCGTGGCCGCGCCTTGCCCCCCATCGCGCGGCTGGGAGACGTGTCCCTCAGGGGGTCTCTGCGGCGGCTGCAGACGCAGCCTCAGGTTTACCTCTGAGTAAACTCTGCTGTCGGAGGCCTCTTTCGGCAGGCCCAGGTTCTTGGTCTTCAAGAACTCTTTAAAGGAGAATGGGTTTGCCGCCTCGAGATCTCCAAGTTTATCATCTGAAAGATACCAGGTGTCACACAGGCGAAAAGCCTCCAGGAGGCCCTCAGAGGGAGCTCCTATTCACTGCTCTTGCCTAAACATGACCCCACCTACATCGGGAACGCTCATGTCCTTCCTTAGGCCTCGGTGATGCCAGGAGGTGACCAGCTGCCTGACAGAACGGACCAACTCGGGCGTTTGAGACTCTGCTCCCCTCCCCAGCTCAATGGTCCCTGAACCTTGTCGCCATTGGGCTCCACCTGGGGAGCTCCAAGGCGCCCACGGCCCCTCCTCCCAGCCAGAGGCTCCAGGAGCAGCCTGCAGCAGAGCCGGCAGCACAGATGTGCGCTGACATCACGTCACCTCTCTGCCGCCAGCCTCTTCCCACCTCGCCTCAGCTCTTTGGTCTCTCTCCCACTCCCTGGGGACCCAGGCAGCCACATCGCAGCCCTTTCAACCCACCGATGACGCCCAGCCCAGTTGCCAGTCCCGTATGAAGTTGGCGCCTGTGACTTCAGCCCTCTCTGTGTCCTCAGACCCCTCAGGCGTGACTTCCTCCTGCTCTCTGCCCTCCTCCCCTCCATCTGACGGAGAAAGTCAGATCTGGGGGGCTCCACTCCCACCGGCTCTTCCGGGCTCCAGGTGTACTAGTTACACGCTGTCAGATCTACGGCCCCACCACTGGGTACGTGCCGGGCACGTGGAGACACGGATGGAGAGAAAAACAAAGGATTACCGAACTACTCTACCTCCAAAGTGTGTGTTCTGAGCTCCTGGTGGACCTTGCTTAGCACACTTCCCCTTTCCATAGCCAAAATCTGCAGAGAGACACCATCACCCCACTGTGACCACACGAGTGCTCTGTGACCACAGCTTTCTCTGACACGGGGTCTCTATAGCAATGGTTTCTCACAGCCTAGAGAACGTTTAAAGCACACGCCCATCGGCTCCTGCCTCTGGACGTGGTCTGGCTACCATGGGCCTTAGCATATGTAATTCTGAAAAACTTCCCGATAGGTTTGACCCCCAATGGGGCAGGCGTCTTACGGTACCTCCTGAACGGCCTTGTGGGTGGTCAATGGCTCTCAGACCCCGACAGACCACCTAAAAGCCCCCGAATACCCCAAAGGCCAAGAAGTGTTGGCCGGTGGGGAGAATTAGGAGGAACGAAAGCTGGCCTCCGCCCAGCTGCGGCGAACCAGAGAATGGTTCAAGCCTGGTGTCCTAAAGGCTCCCTCATCCTTCCCAATTTGAAGACAGACAGGGTTTTCTGTGCTCACCCTGGGCCTACCTCTAAGCCAACGTTTACTGCGGTCTACTGGAACTGTATGGCGGGGGGTTCTCCACTATCAGACTGTGAGCTCCAGGGGGGCGGGACTCCCAGCGCCCGGCACACGGTGGGGCTAGTGGTCATCGCGAGGCCGGGGGTGAGCTGCGCTACCGCGCGGTACCTACGAGGAGCGCCGGCCCCGGGGAGGGCGGGGTCCCTGAGGCTCGTCTCTCACCTGTGTCTCCCACGGAAGCTAGCACCGGACTGGGCACATAGCACATAAACGTCGGCCGAATGCCGAAGAAGTGGGACTCCAGGTCCCTGGCTGGGGGGCGCTCACAGTCTAGCTGGGGGAGACAAGACCGGCGCTCATAGAACGCGGGAGCTGTAATAACAACAAGAGCGACTTCACCCGCGCGCCCGCCTCACCTGGACCTCAGCGCGGCCGCCGAGCCGCGGCCGCCCGCCCGCCCCTCGCCCGCTCACCGTCCGGAATGACGAGGCTTCGGGCCCGGGACAGCGGGGTGACGCCCGGGCGGCGCGCGTAGCCCGCCATCGCCGCGGACTCCGCGGCGCCGGCCCTTCTCAGCCCGGCAGCGGCGGCTCCATGGCCCCGGCTCCGTCCCGGCCGCGGCCCAAGTCGCCCGCCTCCGTCGCCCGCCGCTCGGCCGCCGCTCCGAGCCTCTAGACGCTGCTTTCGCTCCGCGCACCGGAAGCGCGAGGCCGAACGCCGCGAGAGGGAGCCGGGGGGGCGGGGCGCCGGGGGCGGAACAGGAAGTGACGACAAAGCAGTGGGCGGTGACACAAGATGGCGGCAATGGTGCTGGCGGCGACGCGGCTGCTGCGAGGCTCGGGCTCGTGGGGCCGCTCGCGGCTGAGGTGAGTTGAGGGCGGGCCGGGGGTCAGCCGGGGCCCGGGGCAGCCCGAGCCCCTCTGGATGCCCCGCCTCTGGCTTCCCCATGCCGTGGCGCGGCGGCCGGTTAGCGGGCTGGGAGTGCGGGACCCCGGCCCCGTCCCCGAGGCGACGGTGGGGCTTCCGCGCCTGGCGCCCCGGGCTCGGGCCCCGAGCTTCATCCGTCTCTCCTCTCCCTCCCGCTTCTCCCGGGCGGTCGGGGGCTTGTCCGAGGTCACGTGTCATCTTCGCCTCGGGCCCCTTCCGGCCGCGTGTCCCCTTGTGAGGCCGAGCCCGCGGGGCCTCAGTTCCTTGGGGCCCGCGGAGCTAGGATTCTGTGGTGGCCAGAGCCGTGCCCTCGGCCGCGGTGCTGTGTGCCTTCTCCTCTGGATGTCTGGCTTTCTCCCACATTGGCACTTTCGTTTAGGCGACAGGTGGAGTTTTGCCTTCTGGCTGTGTACAGGAGTTGCGTGGGAGCCAGGTGCTATGATGACAGAAACCAGGCAGTGGGTTCAGTTTATCGGGCACCCAGAGTATCAGCTTTGAAGCCGCAGTTCAGCGGTAGGAAACAGGAGACTTAACTAAAGGAAGAATGAAGAGCAGCCTCCAAGGATGTGACATTTAAGCCAAGAGAGGTGGGGAATGAGAGAAGGGTCAGCCCTGTGAGCAGTGCAGGTGAAGAAGGCAGAGCAGGCCCAGCTGTGGGAGTGATGAGCCCAGTGTGTTGAGAGAGTGAACAGTGGGCCAGTGGGTGCACCTGGTGTGGCGGGGCTGGGCGGGTTAGGCGATGAGTTTGGAGAGTGAGTCAGGGGTCAGACCATACAAAGCCTGGTGAAGAGGTGTGGCTTCCATTTAGACTCCAGGGGGGCTGTTGAAAGGCAGAGCTTGGTCAAGTGCTCTGTGAGTAGAAATTGACTTAATCCACACAGCTCCCACCCCTAAGGGGCTGTTACTACTATTTCGTAGACATGGCACCACCTTGAGTCCCTGGGCTCAGCCAGAATTTGTTCCCTCAGTGGTGCTCTTGGTCATTCCTATTCCTTGTCTCTGGGATGCTGTAGAAATCCTCTACGTAAGGAGATGCAGACTTTTTTGACGCGTGCAGAACACAACTGCACCTTGGTGGCCACCACAGTTTCCATCGTTCTCTCTCTTTTTTTTTTTGGTCATTCTAGGCGTCTTGCCGGATATCAGTTCCCCAACCAGAGATTGAACCTGGGCCCTGGCTGTGAAAGTGCCGATTCCTAGCCGCTGGATTGCCAGGGAAGTCTGCATCATCTCATTTTTCTCAAACCTGGACCGCCCTCTCTGTTTCAGGTTTGGAGACCCTGCATACAGACGCTTCAGCAGTGGTGGCGCCTACCCCAACATCCCCCTCTCTTCCCCCTTGCCCGGAGTACCCAAGCCTGTTTTTGCTACAGTTGATGGACAAGAAAAGTTCGAAACCAAAGTTACCACACTGGATAATGGACTTCGTGTGGCATCCCAGAATAAGTTTGGACAGTTCTGTACAGTAGGAAGTAAGTACTGTTGGTAGTGTTGTGGGTAGTCCTGTTTGTTTTAACATGCACACACCTCAATTGACTGTTAGTTGTAATTAGGGTATAGTTAATGAACTGTATCCTGAGTGAAAAAGCATATTATAGAAGCTGAAAATTTAGTAGCTGGAGAATGAACAGTGGCTGTTTTGGTGGTGGGTTTTTTCCCCCTCTTTCTACCTTTCTGTTATTCTAAAAATTTTCTACTGCGAGCATGAAGTGAACAATTTTGTAAATACTGACATATGCATACTGACATATGCATGTAGCTGTGAAGTGTTCAGAGTCAAGACAGTGTACATACTCATCACTCTCACATGTTTAAATTTGGCTGTTTAGTGTTCACACTTTTAAAAGGTTTGTTTTAAGTGTTTCCTCTTGAATGTTTGGTTTAATCTGTCAATTTTCTTTTTATCACCAGTTCTTATTAACTCTGGATCAAGATACGAAGCGAAATATCTTAGTGGAATTGCTCACTTTTTGGAAAAATTGGCATTTTCGGTCAGTGTCCAGTTGGTCATTTTCAGTCTATGTTTGGGAAGAACCTATCCAATTTTCCTCTTTTAGAATGGCAATTTCTATAAGTGGTTAAGTTGCTGAGTTGATACTAATTAGAAGTATTAGAGTTAAAAAATAAGTTGATTTAATGTGTTTTGAAAGCAAAAGTAAAGTAATTTCTTAAAAATTGTATTTTGGAGGTTGTTTTGGACTGCTTATTTAGGTTCTCTTATTTTTCCTAGTCTACTGATCGATTTGACAGCAAAGATGAAATTCTGCTTACCTTGGAGAAGCACGGGGGTATCTGTGATTGCCAGACATCAAGGTATGCCGGTTTCACATACAGATTCCTCTTGCATCACGTGGAGCTGCTGCTCTCATCCTTGCTCACAGTCCCCTGAACCCCTGCCTCGAAGAGGCTGTGGAGCTGAGTGGTGAGAAGCAAGCCCTGGTCCAGGCAGAGAACTGGTGGTGAATTGGAAGAGTGGTACAAACTTCGAGGGCCACAGGGTCTCCAGAAGGCTGTTTGCTCGGTCATTAGAGATCGGCTGCTGGCTCAGCACAGGGGGTGCAGAGCAGACCCTGTCTCCATCATGCTCACAGATCAGGCAGAGGGCTGCGCCACAGAGGATGGACGTAAGAGCCAGAGACCCAGGTTGTGGTGGGAATGTGGAGGGTGGGCCTCTCACTTGGTCTGGAGTCAGGAAAGGGATCATGGGTGACTTGATGTCGGGCCTGGTTCTTGAAGGAGTTTGCCGGGTGGAACGAGGGGAGACAGCAGCTCAGACCTGGAGAGTAGCGATTGCAGAGGTTCAGCCTGAAGAGGCAGGGGTCTGTTTGGGAGGGGGGTTCACAAACAGCTAGGAGTGTGGTAGACAAAGACAGGTGGCATTTGTCTAGTGTAGGGCGTGTTCAGAAAGCTCTGTTCAGGGCAACGTGAGATGAGCAAAGATCACACTTTGGGGGCGGGGCACGTTGTGGGACATGTGGAATCTTATTAATAGTTCCCTGACCAGGGGTCGAACTTGTGCCCCCTGCAGTGGAAGTGCAGGATCCTAATGCAGGGACCGCCAGGGAGGTGCCAGGTCACACTTTTTCAAGTGGTTGGTTATTTCCATCTGACTGCTGCATAGTGAAATGACGAGGATTAGAGTTGGTGTGGCCTCTGTTCTCGTGTTCAAAAAGAAGTCTGTTGAAGCTGGTGGTTCCCAGCTGCCTGTGAGTGAAGTCAGACTCTGCCTGCGATGTTGTCTAGAGCCTCTTCCTCCGTGTCCCCAGGTCCCCTTCTTCTGGTCAGGCGGGCCTGAGTCCTCCCACGCAGCCCACCCACTCTCAGCTCCCCATCTGGTCCTCTCTCACTACCCCGCTCAGGATTGCCCCTTCCCTGCGAGGCCCTGGTGGCCGTCTCTGCTCCAGGGCCCGGTCCTCCCCCGTGGCTGCTGCGCTTTCTGTGGCCTCCTGCCTGACTGCCCCCGCCCCCGCTCGTGGCTCTCTGGTTTCCAGCGCCCGTGCTCCCCTTTCCGGGGTGACCGGGTGCCCCTGTCCCGTCACAGCACTGCTGTCACATGCAGTCCCTTTCCCAGCTGTCTAAGGCCAGGTGGGCACCCACATGGACAGTTCACGTACCAGACGCGGAGCACGAGGGGCAGGAATAGCTTTGGAGGGAGCCTGTGCTGGTGAACACCGCTCGGACACCTCCAGTTTGGCTGGACAGTGTCTTCCACTCCAGCGCTCAGCCTGCGTGGGGGTGTGGATCCTGCCTGCTAAGGATTTATACTGTACACCAGGAAAGGGGAGAAGCACCGGGTGTGGGCTGAGCCTGGATGCAGAGTGGCGTGACCTCGCACCCCACCCCGCGTACACCTGTCGTGACCTCAGTGCCCCCAGGATTGGTTTTGTTGGTTTTTCCAGAGACACCACCATGTATGCTGTGTCTGCTGACTCCAAGGGCCTGGACACGGTGGTGGGCTTGCTGGCAGACGTGGTCCTGCACCCCAGGCTGACAGGTGTGCGTTCAGGCTGCTTGAGGGGTCCCTGGGGGTGGAGGTGTGTTGGCGTCCTGCCCTGGGGAGGGGCATGGTGTCCTTGGAGCCCTGGGCTGCCCTGCCAGGGACGGCTAGCTCAGGGACACTGGAAGCCACGCTCACAGTTGGAGACGCGCTTGACGTTGGGTGCGTGACACACCTCACTCTGCAGCGTCTGCGGTGAGGAGGCCCTTCCGCTGTAGAGGGGCCTCTTGGACGGCGCTTGTACGCTGACTGGCGTGCCCCCGGCAGTCTCCACGTCCCTCCCCTGCCTCCCCCAGCCCTGCCGACGCAGGATTTGAGCTCCCTGCCCGGAGTGGGGCCAGACTGGGCTGGCTACGGGTGTTTCACAGCGGCCTGGCCTCGGGGTGGTGGGGGGTAGCGGGGCTCCCAGCCTACAGGGCCACATTCATGGTCCTCTGGTGTTTGTTCCAGTGACCTGAGGAAACGCCCCCCCGACCTTGGTCTGTGCATGTGTCTGGGCGGACGGCTGGGGACCCGCGTGCCTCTTAGGGGACGAGGTTGCGCCTCAGAGTAGGTCCTTGTGGTTGCCTCGTGTCAGAGCCGGAGCGCGCCCGGTTCTCCAGTCTGCCTGCAGGGTGTGCCCCCTCCCCCGAGACTGCCTCATACGTCCCCCAGGACTGTCCCAGGGGAAGGCAGAGGAGACTGCCAGCGCCCACAGGTCAGCAACATGACCTGCTCAGGGACCCAGGCTCCAGGCGGCTCCTTCTGAGCCTCGATCTGGTTCTTTGCAGACGAGGAGATTGAGATGACACGCATGGCTGTGCAGTTTGAGCTGGAGGACCTCAACATGCGGCCCGACCCGGAGCCGCTCCTCACCGAGATGATTCATGAGGTGAGGCGGGTGTGGGACGGCCCTGGGGCCCCCTCTGGGAACCTCTGGGGTTTCTCAGTGTCAGTTGTGCCAGTTGTAAACTTTCCAATCCTCAGAGCAATGGGAGCTCTTGGACGCAGCTTTTATTTTACGTTTCTTAGGAGTTCTCATTCCGGAGCAGCAGGTTTTACTATTTGTAAACACAAAAAGCTGCTCCGCCAAACCGTAGCTGAACCAAGCCGGTGGCAGGCTTTCCCGCCTGGTGGGATCGCCACGGGCTGGCGCTCGCGTTGGGGCCTGGCCGCCTTCTCTCTGTCACTTGTGTTCCTCTTGCTGCCTTTGCCAAGGCCGCGTACAGGGAAAACACGGTGGGCCTCCACCGTTTCTGCCCCGTGGAGAACATCGGGAAGATCGACCGGGACATGCTGCACTCCTATCTGAGAAACTACTACACCCCTGACCGCATGGTGCTGGCCGGCGTGGGGGTGGGGCATACGCAGCTGGTGGAGTGCGCCCGGAAGTACCTCCTGGGGACCCGCCCCGCCTGGGGCACTGGGGCGGCCGTGCACGTGGACAGATCGGTGGCTCAGTACACTGGGGGCATCGTCAAGGTAACGCCATGGGCCTCGGGCTGCGCGTGTTTTCTTGGACTTCTCTTTAGGTGCTATCTTGTTTATTCTGCGGGTGTTAGAGTTGATGGTGTTGTCATGCCTTCACCTTAACCCGAATTCTCCTTAGAGCTGAGTTGGGCCGGAGCCAGAGGCTTGAGTGGCTCTCGCCTCTCCAGGGCCTCCCGAAGTTCACACACAACTTCTGTAGGCCTGGTCAGAGACCCCCTGGCCTGAGGAGCGCCGAGGCCCGGTGGCCCGTCCCTGAGAGCGCACACCCATTCTGTTTGGTTGCAGCTGGAGAGAGACATGTCCAACGTCAGCCTGGGCCCCACTCCATTCCCTGAGCTCACGCACATCATGATCGGCCTGGAGAGCTGCTCCTTCCTGGTGCGTCTCACTGGCCTGGGGTCTGGGGTGGGCATTGCCCTACTGAGCGCTGCCCCAGCCTCCCACTGGAGGGGGACGTCACCCCCACTATGACCCACCCCAACCATGTCCCCACAAGAGGGGCCTTCACCTCCCCAATGAGCCTCCCCTGTGGCCCTACAGGAGGCGGACTTCATTCCCACCCCCCCACTCCCGTGTCCCCGCAGGAGGGGGACTTCATCCCTTTTGCGGTGTTGAACATGATGATGGGCGGGGGCGGCTCCTTCTCAGCCGGCGGGCCCGGCAAGGGCATGTTCACCAGGCTCTACCTCAACGTGCTCAACAGGTGGGTTGGGCGCGCTGCGTCCAGTTGTGTTGGGGCCCCAGCCCAGCCGAACCCACTTTGGGGCTGTGACGCTTTCTGGTGTCCCTTGCAGGCACCACTGGATGTACAACGCGACCTCCTACCACCACAGCTACGAGGACACAGGCCTGCTGTGCATTCATGCCAGCGCCGACCCCAGACAGGTGAGGCTGGGCTGCTTTCAGTTGGGGGCCGGCGGCCGCAGGCCATGGGGCTCAGATGGCACGCTGTGCTTCACACTCTCTGCAGGTTCGAGAGATGGTGGAAATCATCACGAGGGAGTTTGTTTTAATGGCTGGGACTGTGGACGTGGTAAGTACATCTGGGGTGTCGGTTGGGTGGAGAGTGCGGTGTGGGGGCGGCCAGCAGCAGGCCTGTGTTCCGTGCCCACCCCAGCAGCGTCTCAGCCGGGACAGCATAGCCCGCAGGCGGGGCGCCCATCCTCGCTGGTGTCCCTGCTGAGGAGCCCCCAGCATCGGTCTGCGTCTGACCCAGTCCGGCCTCGCAGGCCCGCCCCGCGGCGCCTCAGCCACCTGCAGGGGAACTGGAGAAGCTGGCCACCTGGGGCGTTTGTCTCAGGCCACAGGACGAGCTGGCCACCTGGGGCATTTGTCTCACTTTTTCTGGCTCTGGTGTGTTTTTAAGTTTTTGTTTCTTTGTTTGTTTTTTATGCCATACACGTTTAAGAAGTCTTGTTTTTTCCTGGATTAGAGGTGGCACAAATGAGCAGGTTCTATGTACACGGTCCACATGGACCGTGCTCATACACACGGGCACAGCAGCGAGCCCGGCGCATGAGCTGTCTCAGGGTTAGTGCTCCCTTTAGAGCTGCTTTTTACGAGTCCCATGTGCAGACTATGCAGTCACCACATGTTCCTTCCTAATGAGAAAAAGAAGCTTGGTGTTAACAATAAAAACACGTTTGAAAGTTTACACTTGACTCCATTAGCATCCTGCTAGAAAAATACAGGGTTTTTCTCAGGCGAAGGCACTCTGAGATAAAGAGTGTTTGCCTGACGTTGTGAAACAGTGAGACCCGTGTTAGGTCAGGACTCGCCATGCTTCAGCGACACAGTCAGCAGCTGGTGTGCCTTCCAGGCCTGCGAGCCCCAGCAGGCAGCCTGCACCTCTCCCAAGCCCCGCCTCTGCCCCCGAGCTCCGGGCTGGGCCTCGGGGACTGAGGCCTCTGAGCTCCCACAGTCTCAGACTTCCGACCTGGCCACGGAGGCCCAGGTGCAGAGCTGGTAGCGTGAGCACCGCTGCCTGGGCCTTGCTCCTGGGCTTGGGGGAGGCCGTGGAGCTGACATCCAATTTGTTTTCCTTGCGATTGCCACGTGCGTCCCCCTTTGGGGTCCTGCAGTTCATGAGGTTTTTCCTGCTTGTGTCACACGGCAGACTTTAAACACAAGAGCTCTGGGGAGGCAGGACTTCTGCCTGTTTGGAATGTGGTCAGGGCCCCGTTGGTGCAGTTCCCACTCTGACCCAGAAAGCCTTGAGGATGAAGCGTGGCGGGACTTGCTGGTGACTTGGGTGAGAGCCCGGGCCCTGGGGCGTTTGCTTCCTTATTCAGCCCAGGGTGAGCGAAGACCCTTCCTCAGGACACATCCGTCAGCCTCTCTGCTGCCTGGGCCACGTGTGCAGTGGCTGGGTGGTGGGGCGTGAGCCCTGGTGACTGAGCCGCCTGCCCCCACAGGTGGAGCTGGAGCGGGCCAAGACGCAGCTCATGTCCATGCTCATGATGAACCTGGAGGCCCGGCCTGTCATCTTCGAGGATGTGGGGAGGCAGGTCCTGGCCACCCGTTCCAGAAAGCTGCCCCATGAGCTGTGTGCACTCATCCGTGAGTATGGTTCCCGGTGGGGGCCCCGCGGGCTCGCGCCCCCCCCTCACCTTCCCCCGGCGTGCCTCCCAGCCCTGCCAACGCCAGTTCAGCGCCTTTCGCGTGCCGCCCCAGCTTTTTGCCCCCTCACACATGGGCCTCACAGCCTCTCCAGGTTTAACAGATTCAGTGGGGGACCTAAGTGGAGCGTGTGGCCAGAGCCCGCTGCACATGGAGGGGCAGCAGCCCCCACGGCGGCTCTGTGCCAGGCGTCGGTGGTCTCCCTGCCTGAATGTCCAGGCATGCCCTAAGCTTCGTCTGCCTGTGATTCTCAGCTTCTGCAGATTCCTCTGGGGTCTGCAACCCCAGAAGGGTTCACCTGCCGCCTCGTGGAGGCGCGTCACTGGGGTGAAGTGTCTCCTGAGCGTGGGGGCCCGCTGGGAACTGCACTCGCCCCACCCGTGCATGGACCCCTGTCTTTGCTCGGAGAAGCCCCTTGGCCCTTGAGAACCACCGTTTCGATCTCCCCGAGACCTCATCTTCTGTAGGAAATTAGATCCCAGGGTGTGAGTCCCTTCTCCAAGGCTGGGCTGCATGCACGGCCCCTCAGTCTCCTCGTCCCAGCCCCGCCCCCACCCACGCAGCCCTGGGGGGGAGTCTTGCATCCCCTGTGGAGTTGTTACGTAGGTGGCTCCGACCAGGTCTGTTTTCCTCCTTGATTATTACTAATTTCCTGGGAATGAGCACGTCCTGTGTGTCTGACACTGACCTTTGCCCGCTCTCTGAGACCTCGCCCTGACCGCCTGCAGTCCATTCTGGGCTGCACTTGGATGCTCTCGGCCCTTAGTGCTGCTCTCTGCTGGTGGGGGGCGATGGCGGGGGTGCCCCCGTCCGCTCAGGGCCGCCGCCGCGGTGTGCAGAGGGCTGGGCTGCAGCACGGTGCGGGGTGGCCTGACACCTCTGCTCCTGCACCAGGCGACGTGAAGCCGGAGGACATCAAGAGGGTCGCCTCCAAGATGCTCCGCGGGAAGCCCGCCGTGGCCGCGCTGGGGGATCTGAGCGAGCTGCCCGCGTACGAGCACGTGCAGACAGCGCTGGCCAGCAGGGACGGGCGCCTGCCCCGGACGTACCGGCTCTTCCGGTAGAGGCGCTGCAGCGGCGCGCCCCCTGTGACGGCAGGGCAGACTTTCACGGACTGGGACTTCCCTGAACGTGAGTGGACAGCTCACCAGGGCGTGCTTTCTTCAGAAGACCGGCCAGCCAGCAGAATAAAGCCTGCTCTCCATCCCTGTGGCCAGACCAGGGGACTCGCAGGGAGGGGGATCCACCGGTGGGGGTCAGGCCAGGCTCACCTTCCTGCTCGCCCAGGGTTCTGGGCGGGTGGGGGCACCACGCGGTCCCCAAGACCAGTGGTGGTGGAGTGGGCGAGGCCTGACCTCTGCTCAGACGCCAGCAGGGCCCGCCAGCCTGCCCGCTTCTGGAGGCTGTGGCCATCCACACCAGCATCTGGGAGTCCAGGGTGACGCTTCATCCCACTCGACTGATGGAGGGAAGCTTCGCCCTCTCCTGGTCTCCGAGGTGCGCAGACGCTCAGGCGGGTCTGCTGGGCCTCCTGAGGCTTGACTGGGGGGCGCGCCGTCAGCAGGAGGACCGAGGCTGCGTGTGGGGCCCCGCAGGTTAGGCGGCCGTGGTGATGGGCACTGCCCTGGCTGCCTCGTCCTCCCGACGCTGCTGTGGTTGAGGGAGGCTTCCTTTCTGGCCGTCAGCGGGGTGCGCCACTCTGTAGAGGAGTCGACTCCAGGTCATGTTTTTTGAAACCCAAGGGCAGCCCCTGCTGGGAGCAGGAGTGATCTCAGGCTGTCAGATACACGTTTGGGCTTCGGCGCCATCCGTCACGCCCACTCGCCTTGCCGCAGCCTGTCGCCACACTCTTCCCACCCCCCCACCCCGCACAGCAGCTCCGACCTGGGAGGGAGGCTTCTGGGCCAGCCCCGCCCACCGAGTGGGGGCCCAGGGCACGCGGGGGGGGGGCCAGCAGCAGGGAGCCTGGTTGTTGGGACTTCCTGTGGTCACGGCGATGGGACAGAGGGAGGCGTGCCAGGAGGTGCCCCCAGCCGGGTCGTGTCTGCTGTGGGGGCTGGGGCCCCAGGGCTTCATTTCCTGGACACCTGCCCCCCACTGCACTCAGCCTCATGTGGGCCTTCCCCCTCCCTTTCGGCCCCACCCCCGACGCGGTCCACTCTGCTCCCAGGGCCCTGCGTGCCCCTTCGTCATCCTCTCAGTCAGCTGCCCCATTGGCACCCCCACAAGGCTGACCGTCCACGCCCACGCCCTGGTGGCAGGGCTCAGCACGTTTCAGACAGCAAGAGCCAGGTTTTAGAAACCAGCCTCACACGTGGTTGTGTTTCAGTTCTTTATGAAGCTTATTTTGCAGACCCTGGTCAATTTCATTTGCATTAATTTGAATTTCAACCTAACTTTCCAAGTAAAATCCCATTCATATAAGTCTAATGGCTTTCATAAAATAAACTGCTTCACTGTGGACCCATGAAATGTGTGCAGTGACCCCTTCCTCCCGCCGCCCCCCCCCCCGCCCCCGGCCCAGGACATGAAGCTGTCTCAAGCGAAACGAATTCACATCAGTGTCACTAATTTCTCCATGAGTTGTGTCAGAGAAGATACCAAGAAAGAATCCATAAAACCCTACTCATCGTGACCCCCGTTACCAGAAAAATCTGTATAACAGGAGACTTCCTGTTAATTGATTCAAAGCGCAATGGTACATTTTTTCATCAAAATTTTATACATCCAGTCTGAAGAATTTCCAGAAATCAGATGGGATAGGCCGCACATTCTCATTCATGGAATTTTCTGAATTTGTATCAAAAGACAGGGTGTGTGTCGCTTTAAAATGGAGACACGTCTTGGAAGCTGAAGCTAATGAAAGTTGGATACAATATTGGTTGGAACTGACTTAACATCACTCAGCAGGATCTGTGGAGAACACCTGGGGCCGAGCATGGGTACAGACGCAAACGTGGGGCGGGGCCCGGTGAGGCTGAGCTCCCCCCTCACAGGGACAGCCTGTGCTCACAAGAGCCTTGCAAGGACAGGTGTGCAAGACTGGTCTTCCTAGGACCCAATCTTTGGCCAGAAAGAGCTTAAGATTCAATATATGCATTTATTTAAAAATATAAATATGGAAAAATAAATAATTTAAAAGACTAGATTGAATGCCCCTAGATTTTCCCACATTCAAAGCCTACGCTTTTTGTTTGTTTTTTACGAGATGGGGTAAGCCACAAGGCAGTAACGGGCTCTAAATCCTTTAAGAAAAAAAGACGGGGCGGCCTCGGCCAGCAAAGTGGCAACACCCCGCACTTCCAGCGGCTGCTCCGGGCTGGAAGTGGTCCCTCACGCTCCTGCTGCTCTGGGCTGCCATGACCTCAGCAGATGGACCCAACGGCCAGGGGGGAAAGCGAGGCAGTTCATGGGCCTGAGCAGCGCCCCCTGCCCACCACTGGGCGCCAGAAGGGCAGCTCTGGGTCTGGGTTGGTGGGCGGGGAGGCTGCTTCCAATGGTGAACCTGGACGTGCACATGTGATGACCTAACGGGAGGTTAGGGCGCCTGCCCGCAGGGCACGCGACCTGCGCTTGGCTAGCCCGACGCGGTCCTTCTGCCGCTGATGACCCCCACAGTGCGGGGAGGTCAGGGTCGGCCCTGCGCAGCCCATCCTGAGCGGGGGCTCTGCGGGGACGTGCTAGTTCCATCCCGGGAACGGCCTGTACCTGGGCCTTCCTCAGATGCCCTCAGGAGACAGTGCAGATTGCGCTGGCGTGCTGGCTCTTGAGTGCCTGCTGCCTCTGGATCTCTCTGGAGATGCGTCTCTTGATTCCCAGCAGGTACAGCTCCCGGTCAAACTTCCCAGCAGCTAGTGGGATACTGGGGAGGAAGGGCCATCAGGAGGGCAGGGTCCTCCCGGCCCCCACTCCTGGGTGTCGGCCACAGGCGGGCGGCACGTGGAGGGGCTGGGCACAGCTGAGGCCTGGGTCCCCGGGTCTGCGCCCGGCCCTACCAGCCGCGCGCCAACCTGCTGCTGCGTGCCGGGAGCTGGGGGACGCTGCCTCCCACCTATGCCAGGCCGGCCCCATGGTAGGTTGCCCCCGCTGCCCACCAGCTGTTTTGGGGGTTGTGTGTCTGGGAGGCCTGGCTGGCTCGGGGTGTGGGCGAGGTCCCCACCCTCTGGTGCATTGCTCGCCTGACGTTGGCTTCTGACCCCCTAGGAAGCCATATCCCCTTGGGGCGCCCAGAACCCCACTCCCCACAGGGCATCAGGACATGCGGAGGCCAGGCTGTGTGCTCAGGCTGCCCCCCGCCCGGGGCCCGGGAGCGGGGGGATCCGGGGGGTACTGACTTGTCTCTCCCTGGCCTCACTTTGACCCGGAACAGGCCGTACACGGGGCGGTGGTCGGATGTCCTGATGCCGGGGCAGGAGGAGTACTTGACGGGGCAGATGTCGTCCTTGTGGCGGCTCCTGAACAGGACGCGGTCCTGCGGGAGGGTCCCAGGGCCGGTTGGCGGCGGGCAGGGCCGGCCCGCTCTTCCCTTGCCTGCCCTCCAGCAGAGCCCGCACGCACGGAAGCCCCTGGGGGCCTGGCTCCCGCTCCCCAGCCCTGCAGGCGGCTCACTGTGTAGGACGGGGTCCTCTGCTTGGAGGTGGTGTCATACGAGTCCTTCCCCACGTCGAACTTGTACGACGGCAGGAAGTGGATGTCCGGCTCCTGGAAGCCCTTGAAGATGGACCCTGGGAAGGGGCGTGGCCCCGACTCGGTGGCAGCTCAGGGCCAGTGCCACCGCGCCCCTTGAGCCCACCCAGCCGCAGCAGCGCCCTGCCCGCTCACCTCTCTGCATCTCGCGGGTGAGCTGGTCATGCTCCAGCAGGGCCTGCATGCTGGAGCCAAGGTCCTGCTTCAGGATGGCCTCCACAGCTGCCCGCCCCCCGCTCAGGCGGAAGTTGAAGTCTCCGAACCAGAAGACCTCGTCGAAGCGGGTGGTGACGTCCGCTGGGGCATGAGAGGCAGGAAAGTGTGTGAGACCCGCTCCCCTCTCCCCGTGTGTCTGCTCCCCGACTCCGGGTCAGGACACTCCCGCACACCCCCGGAAGCGGGTGGCAGCCCACAACCCCCTTGGGGCTCAGGGCCAAGGAGGCGCAGGAGTGGGGGGGGTGCCCGCAGCTTTCTGGGTTCATGGGGTCACAACTCGGGGAGCCTGGCGCCAGGCCTTGCTTCAGGTTGGTGAGCGACTGCAGACTTTTCTGGCCTTCGTTCTCAAAGCTCTAACCATTCCTCTCCATTAAACCACCCAGAGAATGAGGGAAGTCGCCGTGTCTGGGGGAGGGTAAAGCTGCTCACCAGCGTCGGAGCGGTAGGGGCTGGTGTCCGGCACGTTCTTGGGCAGGGCCAGGCCCTGGACGGTCTTGCTGTAGTCCACCAGCCGCTCACCCACCTTCCCGTCTCCAGCTGCAAGGACAGCAGGGTGGGTCTCTCCACAGGCAGGTTTCCGAGCCCAAGGTTGGTGCCTGGGGGTCGGTCCAGACAGACCGCCACCCAGCAACGTCTATCACCCAGCATCTGCACCATGCCCCTCCCCTCGAGAGGTCTGGGGCCTACACGTGAAGGGGGGCCTCCCGGCAAAGAGGGGCTGACAGGTGAAGGACTTACAGGTGAAGGGGGGCCACAGGTGAAGAACTTACAGGTGAAGTGGGATGTGATGAAGAGCAGGGAGGTGCCGAAGAAGGTGAAGCTGACGCCCAGGGCCCCCTTGGTCTTGATCTGGGACACGATGCGGGTGGTCACCGTGGAGCTCTCCACCTCTGCGTTGGAGGAGCAGGGCTGACCCAGGCTGTCCCTGGGGCCCGGCCAGGCTGCCCACCCCCAGCCTGCACATCCGCCAGGGGCGCCCACCTGAGCAGAACCAGATGAGGTCCCTGCGGATGAGCACGGACATATAGAGCGCACCGTGGGCTGCCGAGTACAGCATGACGTAGTGCGGGCCCAGCGTCTCCTGCAGCCGCGTCTCCCACTCCCGCCTGCGGGGCAGCGGCGGGGCGGTCAGAGCCGCACAGCTTGAGGGCAAGCCTGCGCCGCCTCCTGCGTTTCCGTCACGGCCACGGGTCCTGCGCTGCCTCCCAGAGGCCAAGAGCAGGAGCCCAGGGAGGCGGGAGGGGGACCACCTACCCTGGAGCCCAGACCCCGCCCCCCAGGGTCCGGAGCAGACCGGGCACCTCCACTCCGGGCAGGCTGGTGCTGCCGCTGGCCTCTGCCGCGACCCTGCCCCAGTCACCAGGTGAGCTGAGCACACGGCCGGGACGGATGAGCGCTGACGCCGGGGGCCGCGCCGCGCGGGGACCCCCTCTGTCTCCCGGAGCAGCTGTCTATTTATAATATGCTCAATCACGTTTCTTTTAAACTCTGTGCGTCCCCACTCAAGAAGAAAGCGATCCCGGTTGAGCCCAGGCTTGACCGCAGCCCATGTCACCCCTCACATGGGGGTCTCAACCGAAGGACCGAGACCGGCTCACAGGACCGTGTGGGAGTGGCCGGTCGGGGACGCGGAGCCGGTGGGGCAGCGGCAGGGGAGGCCCCGGCCGTACCTGTCAGAGCAGCCCTCCTGGACGCCCACGACATACAGGTCCTGGGCCAGGTCGGCCTCGGCCGGCAGCAGGAGCTCGTCCAGGTTCGGGGGCAGCTCCTGCGGAAAGGCAGCTGCTGGCAGGGGCTGCAGGGGCCCCACAGCGGGGGCTCCGCTCCCGGGCATCCTTGACCACACATGGTGAGCCTCTGGCCCGGGCAGGCGGCCCACCCCTCCCTCAGCCTGTCCTCCATCCCTTGCTGGGGCCCACACACAGCAACTGTGCTGCCTCCGGCCCCCGGGCCTGGCTGCCCACAAGGGGACCCCCCACACATACACCTCTGCCCTCACAGCAGCCCGGGGGAGGGAAGTGGGCGCCTGGCTGGCGGTCTCCACGCCCCCACCAGCGGCGGCCCAGGCGCCCCGGGCCCCAGGTGCAGGCCAGGCCATGGATGGCCCAGGGCTCCCCGTGGACAGCAGGGCCAGAAGCCTGGGCACCTGCCTGCACTTCTGCTCAGGGGGTGGTTTTGTGGGGGGCCTGTCCTGAAGCAGCCCCACCCGCCACCCTGAACGACGGCAGCCCGGGACGCGGACACTTCCGTTCTTTGGATGAGGCACGCTTTGGCGCACACGGGCGACAGGAGGCACTCCAGATGGGGCCAGGGGCCCCGCTGGGCGTTAGGTTGCCCGCCGTCTAGAGGAAGCCCATGGCCAGCCCGAGTCGAAGCCTCCCGCACGCAGGGGCGGACAGCCCTAGCTGTGGGAAGGGACCCCCCAGGAGACACGGGTGGCTGGAGAGAAAGCCCCCGCTGGGCTCCCCCAGAAATCAGCGTGTGAACCACGCGCCCCCTGGCTGCAGTCGCTCCGGGGTGCCAGCTCACAGGCAGGATGGAGGACATGAGCCCTGACCACGGCGATACACGGCGGAGACAGACCCGGACCACGGCGTGCACGCCCGCCCGCCCGTGGTGTGCATCGGGGCACCATGTCCCCACTTGCACGAGAGGCCCGGGGCAGCTAGAGCAGCAGGGCCGCGTGGTGGGTGAAGGGCATGGCCACCTGGAGGCCAGGCGGCTGTCAGGAAATCTCTGCTCCTTCCTTCCAAATCTGCTGTTAACCTACACTGCTCTAGAGTGTACAGCGTCCCTGCAAACTGAAGCATTCATGCCGTGTGAAGCGGTGGAGAGGTGGGCGAGAGATGCTCTGACGGCCAGGAGGCTCCTCTGCGCGCCCCGGGGAAGGGTCTGGAAGGAGCCCCGGCCCATCCCACGTGGGGCCGGCGCCTGCTCACCTTCTGGCCCTGCATGTTCCATGTGGCCACGAACAGGGCCACGTTCCGGTCCGGGAAGTAACGGGCCAGCTCGTCCGCCCCCATCAGGGCCCCGCTCGCCAGGAGGCTCCCCTCCAGGTAGCTCCTGCAGAGACGGGCCAGATTGAGCTGGGGGTTGCAGCAGACGGACCCAGAGAGGGGCTGGGAGCAGGACACATCTCTGGGGCCGGGAGCCCCTCCCAGAGCTGGAGTGGCCTCCGGGCCCTGGCGGGGGACGGGGGGAGCACAGTGCGGAGAGCCCCTGGAGTCCCGGGACACCTGCCGTGGCTCTAGAGACCCCCGCAGGCTCCTGGCCTCCAGAGAGAAGGGACAGGCAGGTGACGTCTGGGGCTTTTCGGGGACCCCCTAAGGGCAAGGCCCTGGAAGGGCCGCAGAGGTCGAGGTGGGCTTCTGGACTGTAAGCAGACTCGGCGGGCACGCCCTTCTCCGGGGCTCCGGGCTCCGGCCTCCGCCTCGCCATCCGGCCCGGGGAGCTTGTAAAGGCTGCCCGGGATGCCTCTGTCTTCGCAGGTTCAATCCACCGTAGGCTCTCACAGAGTAACTCATGCAAACGGTGCAGAGTCAAACACCACCGCAGAGTCCCTGCAGGGCCTCTGTCCTCACAGGGCTGTCTGCCTGTCTCCACTTAGCCCGAGAGCGGCCTCGCACGTGCCCAGGTGCCAGGGAGACTTCATTTAGGGACAAACCTGAGATTCTTGTAATTTCCACACGTCCACGCAAGACTGTTAGTACTGCCTTGGTTTTTTTTTCCTTCCCAACTGTGTGAAAACTGTTTCCCTTGGACCCGTGACAAGGACTGTGCCTGACTGATCAGGTTCCCAAAGACGGAGGGGAATGCACAGGCTCAAACGTCCAGGCTCAACCAGTCCATCCTAAAGGAGAATATTCATTGGAATATTCATTGGAAGGACTGATGTTGAAGCTGAAACTCCAATACTTTGGCCACCTGATGTGAAGAGTTGACAAGTTCAAACGTCTCACTTGCTCCTGTCATTCCCACTTGCTTAGAAGACCGTAGGCCCTGGCTTGCAGAGATAGGCACCAATCCCTTGGAAGGAGATGAAGTTAGAGTCCAGTCCTTACAAGCTCTGCAAGACAAGAGCTCGCGGCTGTCAGGAGGCAGGCGCCTCCCTGAGGCCACCCCGTATTGAGGACCCCGTCGAGCTGCCTGCAGGGGCTGCCATCTCCAAACCAGCCCTGTCCGCAGTGTGAGCAGAAGGCAGCCCGTCAAGGGCACAGTCCACGGCTCTTTCCTCGGTCCTTGGCCTCGACCCCAGCCAGGCCCGGGCTGTGTGCCGCCCACAGGCTGAGACTCGAGCCCGCACTTTCAGTGTTACTATCACTCCTTTTTAATCAAAAACATAGTTCGTTTATTTGGCTGTCATGGGTCTGGTGAAGCAAGGAGATCCAACCCGTCCATCCCAAAGATCAGTCCTGGGTGTTCATCGGAAGGACTGATGCTGAAGCTGAAACTCCAGTACTTTGGCCACCTCATGTGAAGAGCTGACTCATTGGAAAAGACCCTGATGCTGGGAAAGATTGAGGGCAGGAGGAGAAGGGGACGACAGAGGATGAGATGGTTGGATGGCATCACCGACTCAGTGGACATGAGTCTGGGTAAACTCCGGGAGTTGGTGATGGACAGGGAGGCCTGGCGTGCTGCAGTCCATGGGGTCGCAGAGAGTAGGACGCGACTGAGCGACTGAACTGAACTGGGTCTTAGTTGTGGCACGCAGGAGCTTCCATCTTCGCCATGCGGGATCTTTAGTTGCAGCACACCAATTCTTCATTGTGGCACATGGGATTTGGTTCCCTGACCAGGGATTGAACCCAGTCCCCTGGGACTCAGAGTGCAGTCTTAGCCACTGGACCACCAGTGAAATCACCTACACGTTTCAGTGGTTGGGGAAAACAAGTATTTTTGTGCCAAGGGAAAATGACCTGAAACTCACATTTCAGCCTCCTTGAACAAAGTGTTCCTTTGTCCACAACACTACTGTTGGTGTGTGTGGCCTGGGGCTGCTTTTTCATCCCCACAGCAGAGGTTAACACTTGCCAGAGACCGCGTGGCTCACAGACTCGAAACAGTCACTGGGCTGGATTGGAGGGGCGTGCCGGGGGGGCAGCCATGGCAGAGCTCCCCCGCCCCCCAGGGGGCCTTGGCATCACATCAGGGAGTGGGTGGCGTGGGGCCCCCGAGTCAGGGCAGTGGCCAGAAGTGCGCCTCAAACAACCCGCCCAGCCCTGGCCGACAAGTCAGGACACACGAGAGGCAGGTTCAGTGGCCGGGCCCAGCATGGACAGAGCAGTGGGGGCAGGCAGGGAGGGCATAGCATGACTTCTGAGTCACAGCCTGGGAAGCACAGCATGGCCCCGAGCCCAAGCTCCCGGAAAAAACAGGCCAGCAGACAGCCAGTGGTTGTGGACGGATTGGGCTAGAAGCCCCTGGGGACCAGGTCTGGTGTGCTCCTGAGGCTCTGGGTCAGGGCCGGGGGTTCAGAGGTGGAGATGGGGGCAGCACCTGCCTCCCCTTCAAGGTATAAATTAGGTGATAATTAGGACTAACCACTCAAGCCCTGTGAAGCTGGACACCCAGCATCCTCCTTGCCCACAGGGTCGGGGGCCGAGCCCTGCATGTTAGGAAACCCTGGGGCGCTCCTGAGCATCAAGGACAGAGGCCGGGCTTCTGCCTGCACCCCTCCCTGCTGGAGGCGGGCCACAGGGACCCTCCCCGGGGCCCCCCAGCCCCATCCAGCTCTCCATTCTGGAAAAGTGCCAGCAGGTGCTAGGGGCACGGCTGCCTCACCCTGGTCCTCAGGAACGGGACTGTGTGGGCACGGGTCCCGGGACACACTTGAGTCCTGGGCCCACCTGCACACGCACACAAAGGGCTGCTCCCGACAAGAGCCAGAAACAGGAGGGAAAACAGGCCCGCCCCGCATGCAGAGGGGTCTGTGCACCTGACTGGCTACGCCTCACAGGAGCCGGGGCGTGCGGCTGGGACAGGGGGGTGGGAGGAGACGGCCCACACACGCTCTCAGGAGAACCTGCCCACGGCTCTCATGGGGCTTCTGAGGGTCCCCGGGGCCCTACCTGCTCCGGACGTCCTTGGCACGGATGGGCGCCAGGAGGCTGAAGGTGGACCTGGAGGAGTGAAGGGAGCAGTCGTCGCAGGCCAGGGGGCTGGGGGGCCGGCCGGGGCCCAGGCTGCTGTGCGCCCGGAACAGCCTAGCCTGCAGCCGGAGCTTGTAGTCGGCGTGATCCGGGTCTACCTTGTTCGCTGTCCGCAGGCCTTCGGAGGCCACGTTGCGGCCCATGGCGGGCAGCGGGCGCGGGGAAAGCAGGCTGGCCAGCCGGGGGGCGCTCCCGGCCGAGGCCCCTTCCCGGTGCAGCAGGTCCAGGGATGTGCTGATCATCCCGGAAAGACAGTTTCCCCATGAGGAGGGCCCCCCGCTGCCCGGGGCCCTGCGAGCCGTGGGGATCTCCTGCAGGGAGGCGCTCAGGCAAGGTGGGGAGCCGCTGCGGGCGGGGGTCCCGGGGGTCTCGTCCTGCAGGGAGCCCCCCGAGGGGCTGGCCCCATTCCGCAGAGTCAGGTCCTCACGACTGGTTCGAAAACGCCTCTTTCTCCAGCCCTTCTCATCCAGGGATAGCGCCCGCTCCAGCCTGGGCCTCGGGGGTGGCGGCTTTGGGGTGAAGGGTCTCACTTGGGCCTGTGGGTCCTCGTTGCTGACTTGCTCTGGGGTGTCCAGGGGGAGCTCTGGGCTCCTCTCGGGTCCCCGACGGTTGCCAGCAGCCGGGGACCCCAAGCAGGGAACAGGCTCTTCATCACTGTTCGGAAGCAGTCCCTTGAGCATGCTGCCTTCAGGACGCAGACACCCCTGGGCAGTGGGCTGCTGGGAGGCGGCCTCTGAGTGCCCCAAGCTCGCCAACTTGGATGGCATAGTCCGGGGGGTCAGCCCTCAGGGCTGGGGGCAGTCTGGCTGACCCGGGAAACGGTTCCTCTGGGGGCTGCTGCCGATGCCCAGGGTCAGGGCCGCGTGCTCAGCCGTGGCTGGGGGGGTCGCGGAGCAGAGGCATGGCAGCAGCTCCCCCTCGGGCCTGGGATGGTCCTGCTCGCACAGGACCTGCTGCTGCATGGCTGGGAGCCCCGAAGGTCCGGAGTCCCGAGAAAGCACCTAAGGGAACACCCTGCGATTAGCCTTCATCGCTCGGGTGGTGATGCCATTTAATGATCCTGAAGCACAGCACGGGTCAGCGTGACAGAGCGGACAGGCCATTAGCGGCAGAGCAAGAACAAACATTTAGGCATCCTGGTCCGCTGGCTCCTCCCAGGAGACGGGTGAAAAGTCCAGCATCTTAGGATGGAGGGAAGCCCCCCTTGCGGGGGGGGGGGGGAATGGGCGGGGGCACGGCTCCTCACTTGGGGAGCCAGGGGCCCAAGGAGCGAGAATTCCTACCCCAAAGGCGTAGGCGCAGCCTCGGAGGGGGACCCGGACCAAGCCCATTCCTCACCCCGCCCCCACCCGGCGGGGTCATACGGCCCTAACTCGCTCACCTGCGCGCCCACCACCATCGCTCGGCCCTCAGATAACCGCCCTGAGAGCAGGCGACCCTGAGCAGCCTGCGGCCCGGCTGCGAAGGCCCCTGACTCAGGACTAGCGAGTCTGGCCCGGCCGGTTGCGCGCTCCCCTGGGTAACAACCGCCCGGAGCCGCGGGGCTGGAGACGGGTTAGGGGGACGAGGCCCGCGCCCAGGGTCCTGGCGCGACACGGACGCCCGCGCCCCGCTCCGCGCCGGGGAATCCGGCGACTCGACCCGTGCGCCCGGACTCCAACTCCGGGGTCGCCCCGCCCCGTCCTCGAGCCCAGCTTAGGGGTCGTCCCGCCTAAGGCCTCCGCGCTCCCGCCCAGGGGTCACTCGGGGCCTAGGTCTGCTGGCCCCGTATCCCCGCCCTGGACTTTCTCCGGGACTGCCGCCCCCGCCTGGGGTCATCGCGCCCCGTGCCCCCACCTCTTGATGCCGCCAGCTCCCCAGCTCCGCGGGCTTCGGCGGCCGCTCCCAGGCAACCGGCGGGCAGGACGGCCTGGATCCCGGTGCCCGCAGCGGCCACTGGCGGCCGGAGGACCTAGGCGCGTGGAGCGAGGGACGAGGGCGGAGGGCGCCCTCGGGTGGGCGCCAGGACCGCCGGCGGCTTCCTCCCCACGAGCGCAGCTCGCGCCCCGCCCCCACCCCGCCCCTCGTCTCCGTATTTGACAGCGAGGACCCTGGGGCGGAGTGGAGCCTAGAAAGCAGAGCGCTATCCTGGTCCCTCTTCACTGCCCTCAGGATGGGTTTTCCTATCCAGGCCCGCCCACCGCCCATCGGAGAGGAACCCCTTTCTCCGGGGGGCCCCTAGAGGACGGGTCTGGCAGAGGGACAGAAAGTCGTGGCCCAGGGAGCCCTAGCAGCCAATCAAAGTGCAGACGAGGCCCAGATCCCCAAAGGCTTCAATAAACAAAAGGAGGCAGGGTGAAAGGGCTTGAGAGCGCAAAATATTTTATTTAACAATTTGCATTTAGGAAAAATAGCAGCTCCCGCCTCGGAGGAAGCTTCTTGAATCAAAACTCGCTGGCGGTGGACACAGACAACAGGCAGGGCAGTGCCGGGCAGGTCTCAGCCTGGGGGTCGCACTAGCGCTGCCCCTGGACATGAGACCGCCCGCCGGTGAGGCTGGCCCCTCCCAAAGGGACACATCTGTGACGCGTCCTGGAAACCGTTCTGCGGGTCCTTCTGAGACGACCCAGTGGACCCGAGGGCCCTGTGCTGACCCCACCCTACCCAAGCCCGGACATTTGGATTAAAACCCAACAAACCACGTCCCCCAGCGTTCTACAGAAATTATTTCCTAATGATTTTTATAAATACTTAAATCTTTTCTTTAGTCCCTTTAGACTGAACAAGAAGAACGAACAGTTTTGAGAACAGTCGATGAAGCCTTAAAGCTGAGGCCGCCAGGAGGTCATCGTCCTGTGCCGGTTCACAGGCTGTCAGCAGGTGAGCCGCTGACAAGTCCGGGGCCAGAAAGGTCGGACTCTGGAGCTTCAGACAAGAAACAGCTGCAAGCCACTTTCTTCAGGATGTTACCAGCTCCCTAAGCAACGCAGCAGTGAGAGGCAGCAGTCAGCTGGCAACACTGCCGGGACCGGCCGCGGGAAGCAGGGCCCGGCAGGTCCACAGGAAAACCCAAACCAACCCCGGGAGCCCCAGCTGTGACGCTGGACCCGTCACTCAGAACAGCTCCGTCCCAGCCGGCGCCGCGGGCTGCCGGAAGCCCCCTGGTGCTGGTGAGGCCACAGGACGCCGCGCAGGGCTGGGCGCGGCTGGCTCCAGGAGAGAACGCACGTCGGCAGCGAGGGCCGCTCTCGAAGCCTGACAAAGCTGCTGCCACAGGAGGCTGCGTCCTCCGAGACGAGCGCCCTTCTAAAGGGGGCTGCGTCCTCCGAGACGAGCGCCCTTCTAAAGGAGGCCGCGTCCCCCAAGACGAGCGCCCTTCTAAAGGAGGCCGCGTCCTCCGAGACGAGCGCCCTTCCAGGCTCAACAACATGGGGCGGGGGCTGACCTGACTGCCTCTGGGTACAGGGCAGGCAGGCGGGCCCCTCTCTGAGTCAAAGGCGCACGGTCTCCTGGCATCTGAGAGGGCCTCTGGGCTTCATCCGGCAACGATTCACTGTGAGGCTTTGAGAGACGCCTCAGTTACTGAGAAGCAAACTCCTCCTGCAGCCAAGAAGGCTCCAGCTTTACCCAGCGTCACGTCCTCAAGTGACTGCAAACGGTGGGTCCTTAAATCATTCCTTTGGGTCAAAGAGTCACTGTTCATCCAGCATCTTGAAGGTGTGGAATTAATGTTGGAACGCTCTGTAAGTCATTTCTGAGTCGCTGCGTTCACGTCCATCTGGGGACAGACTGGAGTCGCAGGCCATTGGCCTAAGCCCTTGGCGAACAGCCACCTCCCGTCCTGGTGCCGCTCCAGGACACGGCCTTTCTAGCTTAACGCCGGGTACTTCCTCTGGCCAATCCTCCCCGTCCTTGAGCTTCCTGAGGTGGCAGGGGCCTGGAACAACAGGGACAGGACTGAGGTCCGCACGCCGGCCCCAAGGGGGCCGCGGACCAGGCAGAACAGACAGCTGGCCTCAATGAACTGGTGTGTGCTGCCGTCTTGTGGGCAGCCCCGGTCCCTGACTAAGCAGGGTGGTGGGGTGAGGCCGCGCCCACAGCCGGGCCTGAGGAGCCCCAGCTGGCGATGGGGGAGGCAGGGAGCACCCGGGGAGGCTGCACGGGGCACAGGCATTTACTCTGATCCCAGGAAAACCCTGACCCAAGTGCAAGGCAAGGAAGTTTTGTGAAGGCATCCGCAAGGCGAAGATCCAGCAGAGAAGAACGCCCTCAGCTGTGGGCTGGAGACGCAGATGGCGGCTGGGAGCAGGGAGGGCGCAGTCACGGGGCCCACCCCGAGGGAGCCCGAGGTTGGGAGCCCCAGGTGGCGAGGGCAGGGTCTGCCGTGGGTCAGGGGAGGCAAAGCCAAGCCCTCCCGGCAGACCCCTCCTCTACTGCATCCGGAGACTGCCCCCACCGCCCGTCCACTCTTTCCAGGCCAGAGCCTGGGAGGGAGACAAATGAAAGGGAGCATTTCCCGCCTGAAGGCTACCAGCCACCAGGCGAGGAGCCGCCAAGGTCAGCACGGGAGGGGTCAGCCCCGCCCCAGCGCGGCGGCCGCAAACTGACAGGGTGCCCAGCCCCTCCCCCGGGGCACCACCGCCTCCCCGGGCAGCGGCAGAGCCGGGCAGACAGCGACGGCGCTTACTTGTGCAAGCGGAGCCGGGTTGTAGAAGGGTACTGTGGCCCCAGGAGGGGCCCCCGCGGGGGCCGGAGCGCCGGGAGCCTGGGGAGCACAGAGGGAGGGCGTCTCACCCTCTGACCGAGCACAGCTGCTCAGTGCGTTTGCAAATACAAAGTTTCTGAGGAAGGGTTTGTCACGCTTTTGAAGACGCCACAGAAGCAGGTCAAAGGCACTTATTGCAGAACTACATTTAATTATTTAACGGGGCTCAGAAAAACAGTCAAACCAGGGCATGCACACGCAGCAGTGGGGGGAGGGGAGCAGGTACTAGGGATCGCTCCAGACCTCAGGCGTCCAGCTACAAAATCCAGTGCGCTAGTTCACAAACGAACAAGTCCCAGGAAGTCTTTCTGCTGAGCCAAGGGAAAAGCTTAGTTCCACAACGCATGGAAAAGCTGAAGTATTCCTTTATTTCCCATACGGCCTGACCACAGGACAGCAGTCACCACCTCACCCTGCCTGGCCTGAAACACTTTCTCCTGCTGATCAGAAAACAGAACCTCTGCTTTTGAAATAAGAGCGTCCTGACCCCAGTTGGCTTCTGATGTGCACGCGTGCACGCGCACACACACCCCGTGAGGCTATGCCTGTGACTGGTCATTTAAAAAACTCCATTCAGAAAGAGCACAACCACAGAACTAGTCCCTTCACTGTGGGCATCCTGGAGTCAGTCTGACCGTGGATGTGCCTGGATATCCAACACCACCCTCTGAGAACCTCGACAGAAAGGGACACCGCGCGCTCAGGCGTGTGAGGGCCGAGCGGCGACAGGTGACGTCAGCGGCTGGGGCACAGTGAGTGAGCAGCACAGCGACCTCAGAGGAAAGACAAGCCCCGTGCACACGGCCAGCCACAGGTACCTGGTCAAAATGCTGGCTCACTTCCCGTGATAACGAGCTCAGCGAACTACAGCGCGAAAGCTACAAAACAGCAAGAACACAAACACAGACAAACACCGAAGTCAGCGTGCGCGCCGCTGCTCCACACCGGCAGCTCAATCCCAAGCAGCTACCCTGCTGCTGGAATCAGTGCAGCTCCATGGGGAGAAAGCCTCAAACTCCTGTCGCATGGGCAATTTTTACAGGAAATGACCCGTGCGAGACGGAGGTCTGCCTAGCCCTGGGCCTCGGGCGGCCTGACCTCATGCTGCCCGAGGGACAGAGGGGATCCCCGCTGATGAGTGCTCGCAGCCCTCACGCTGGCCCAAGATCCCAAATGACTGCGGGCACAAGCGTGACTTTTCTAAGAAACACAACACTACTCCGGTTCCTTAGTTTCTAAGCTGCTGCCCTTTCGCCGCCCGTTAACACTGTCTTAGAGAAGGCATTCGGACAATGGGGGCCCCCGAGGCCCAGATTCTCCGCAGATGCGCCCCCCCAGTGCTGTTTACCTCTCCTCCCTGGTGGCCATCCAATCCAGATGCTGGGAGTTCAGGTCCAGGGAGCGACGCCACTGCAGGCCCGAACACCTGCCAGGACAGGGGGAGGCTGCTACTAGCAAAGCCGGGTGAGCCCGGGGCTCCCATGCGAGGCAGGACCACCCGCGATGAGCGGCACGACCTCCCGGGGGCACCTTCTGAGACGCCCTGCAGGTTCCAACCCGCATCGCACCCTTACTTACCGGGCACCTGCTGTGCGCCCCATGGCGGCCCTGCAACCGGCGCTGTGACCCCGTCCACCGGGCGGCACCCCGAGGCTCAAAGGAGCTGAATGGCCCCATCCCCTGCCCCCACCTTTTCCTTTCAGCCTCGCCACACCGCTTGTGGGATCTCAGCTCCCCAACCAGGGACTGAACCCTTGCCCTGCAGGGGACGTACAGAGTCCCAACCGCTGGACCACCAGCCCCCCACCCCCAAACTTTAAATAGCTAAGTAATGGAGAACCAGGGCTGAAATCAAGCTCCATTGAACCTCAGGTATCAAACTCTAAATGACTGTATTTCACACACATGAAGAAACCCTCTACACTAATGAAACGTCAGCAGGACAGTGTTCCCAGAGAACACGTGCGTGGCCACCTCTCGGGGGAGCAGGAGGCTGACTTCCACTGCCCCCCACACCCTTGCCCTGCGCACGGCTCACCTTGGGATCCGAGGCAGGCTCCGGCCTGGCTGGCCCCTCCCTGCTGGCCCCCTCGGCGGATGGTAGCTCCTCTGCATCTACGGGGAGACGGGGGGTGGGGGGAGGCCCTCTCATCCACAGAGCCCTGGGCATGGGGGACTCAGCCCCAGGGGATGCGCTCCACCTGCCACCCCCGCACACACACGCCTGCAGACAGCATGGCGGGCCTCGCGCTCTGCGTCCATGGCACTCTTCTTGAAAGAGGACCAAGGCCAGGGGCCCAGAAAGAGACCCAAGGTTAGTAGGCCAGGGGCGAACATCCCTGCTAAGTGGGCTGTGTACCTGCGTTTGGGCCCAACAGGTGAACTGGAATCGGCAGCGGGGCCAGGGGTGCAAAGAGGTCAGTGGGAGCCAGGGCTGGCTCGCTCCGCTGGGGTCCCCCCGGGTTCAAGACGTCCACGTAACGTGCCCTGGTCCCAGCTATGACGCAGAGAGGGGGCAAGGTCACCCCATGCCGTGGTCCCCGCTCCATCCTCCATGTGTCCAGGGAACATGGGGACCCCACTTCCAGCCCCAGGAAGGCCGGGCTCTGACAGGGAGCCTCTCCCGGGGCCTGCTGCTCAGGTGAGGGTCTCACTTCATGCCATGATGCTGCCAGGATGCCTTTCCGACTGATCGGATCCACCCTTCCAGGACCACTCACTGCTCGGGAAGACGCGCACCCCCACCCCAGACATCCTCAGAGAACCAGCCCTCTTCTCACGGGAGACAAACCACGCCTGACACACACGTGGTCCCTGCTGGGCTCTGCAGTGCCTAGAGGATGAACAGACGACCCAGACGACCTAGCTTTGGGCTGGGCTTTGTTACCTGCTTTTCTAGAATACATGTTCACAGTGGGCCTGGGGGGCCCTCCGGGACCAGGGTGGGCAGCGTGTGGAGCCTTGGGAAGGGCAGCTGGAGGCGGGGGCGGAGCCTTCTTCTGCAGAAGGAAAGCCCACTTGGAGATCCGCTGCCCCACAGCTCCTGCCCTGGGGAGGGCCTCTCTGCCCCGGGTCCCAGCTCACCTCCTCCTCCGGCTCGTTGATATCCACCCATCGGTTCTTCTTCTCATCCCAGACAATCTGCCGGGGTTGTGAAAAGCAAAAAGAAAACTCAGCACAAGGTGAGCAGAATCAGACCCTGAGCACGCAAGAGGCACTGGCTCAGGTTCGCCAAGGGCTGAGATGCTCCGTGCAGACAGCTGGAAGGCCTGCTGCTGCAGACCCCCCGGCTCCTCAGGCCCACCTGGCAGGACTCACCGATTTGTTCTTGTCATCTGGCAGATAAGCTTCTGTCCTTTTCTTCACAGGCAGCCAGCGAGAGAACCAGGATTCGCTGCTCTGAACAGAGAAACCACCAGAACAAGCCTGAGGACGTGGTGCTGAGAGAACGAGCGCAGCACAGCAGGGCCAGCCCGCGCGAGCCCCCGAGTCAGGGCCTGCAGGCGCCACGGCCACAGAGACGGGAGGCAGATGCCCGGCTGGAGGCGGGGGCGACCTCCAGGGCTCCGGGCTTCGGTGTGGAAGATGACAGAGGCCTGGGGACGTGGTGGTGGGCGCATGACAGAACCGCACACTTAAAGACAGCCAAGTGACCAGTGTGATGT